TGCATCAATTTCCATGTGATTGCCAACAAACTATTAGATTTTCAAAGAAGGAACCCAACAGTTTTTTGCTTCTAGCATGATATGTGACTTCAATACATTGTTCTTAACCTCATGGAGCGGTTGACTTATTCTGATGCATTTTCACTGCTGTTGCCTGGCTGCCACAGATCGGACAACTCAGTTGAGCTGTGGGATGTGGGCTGCGCACTGGCACTGCGTGGCGCGCCTGTGCTGCAGGCGCGCCTGCCAGCAGCGCCCGGTGCCAGCGTGGAGGCGCTGGCCTGGTGTGCCGGGCGCCTCTTCTCCACTGGCCTGCATGGTCACCTGCTGGAGCATGGCGGCCACGGCCTGGAGGCAACAGGCAGCACGGCAGTGAGCGGGGGTGCCGCCTGGTGCATGGCAGCTGAGCCTAGCTGCCATCAGCTGGCTGCTGGCACTGAGGATGGCCAGGTGGTGCTGCACCGGCTCGGCGACGAGGGTCTCGTCTTTGAGAGGAAGCTCACCAAGCAGGTCTGTCGCTGTTGCTGCTGTCGGACTGCTGGCTGCGGTGTGATGCACAGCTGTGGATGTATGCCACTCATGGGATGTGCTACAACTGTTTGCTAGCTGGTAGCTGTGTGGGGGTGATATATTTTTTTTTAATCAGTGTGGCTTTAGCTTGTCTGTATGTGGAAGGGTAGCAAGAAAGAATGCATGTGTGCACAACTCATTTAGTGTGGTGGGGGCTTCATCTCTCCCCCACTCTGTTCTAGTTCCCATAACTTTGGGAACAAATGGGCAAAGTTTGAGGAAACATCTGTTTATAAGCAATTTTCATGGGTAGGCATAATCATTTTTCACTGTTCAGCCTTTTTCATTTGTTTTTTTTTTCATTTTTCCCATTTTTTACAATTTCTCTTGCCCCTTTTGTTTCACTTCGTGAAACTACATCCATCTAAGAAACTGTCTGGAGTGGAACTCACCCCTATATGGTGGGGCTCAAAGTTCTTATAACCAAATCTACTCTGGTAACCAGCGCTGTAATTGCTCTGTCCCATACTCTGGTCCCCACCGCTCCCGACCACCTGCCCTCCTCCCCCAGCGTCACGCCTGCCTGCCGTGTTCCACAGGAGCGCCGGATCTTGAGTGTGGCCTGGCACCCGGATGGGCGACACCTGGCGGCCGGCTCCGTCAACACGGCGTGCCTGCACGACGTCGAGACGGGGGCGCTGCTGTCGCGCATCGCCGTCGGCCGCCGGCCCGGCCGGCGCGAGACGCTCGTCTGGAGCGTGGCGTTGCTGTCCGACATGACGCTCGTCACCGGCGACTCCAGGTCCGTGCGGCTGGCGGACTGCTATGTGGGCTGCCGGCGGCCGCGCCGGCGCGTAGACGCTCGCGGCTGTAGGCGCGGGAGGATGTGATAATCAAAACGGTGAATGGTACATGGCATGGTGCACAAAGGAATGGTACACAGCATTACAATGGTATGGTAAAGGTACACAGTACACAGCTACACAGTGTTGTCGCCTCGCCCTATATTCGCTCGTGTTCGGTGTTGAGCGTGGAATTAAACGGACCAAACGTTACCCGTGTTGCGTTGTGGAATTAAACGGACCAAACGTTACCCGTGTCGTGTTGTTGCTCAAACCGGGTGGTCAAAATGACGCTCTACTGCCAGCGTGCCTTGTAGTGCGCTCTTTTCGTATGCCTCAATCAAGGTGACTGCAACTCGATGCGACAGCCCCGCCTCCTCCCACCCCTGTCGCACTGCTACCGTGTCACATTGCCGCGCGCCGCGCTCACTGCCCGCCTGTCGCCGACAGGGGCCGCGTCTCGTTTTGGAACGGCCGGCTAGGCGCTCTGCACATCTCTCTCAGCTCCCACAAGGCAGATGTGCTGGCGGTGGCGGTCGGCGCCGGCGGCGACGCCGTGTTCGCCGCCGGCGTCGATCCCACCATTGCGCGCTTCGATCGGGTGGTGGGCGCCCGCGGCGCCGCCGCCTCCTGGGTGCGCTCGACGCGCGTGCAGCTGCACGTGCGCGACGTGCGTGTGCTGATCGGCGCCGACCGCTGGCTGATCTCGGCAGGTGAGAAGCGGCCCACCGCTGGCTGATCTCGGCAGGTGGGAAGCGACCGACCGCTGGCTGATCTCGGCAGGTGGGAAGCGACCGACCGCTTGCTGGTCTCGGCAGGCTAGAAGCGTCCCACCGCTGGCTGATCTCGGCAGGCTAGAAGCGTCCCACCGCTGGCTGATGTGATGGGATTCATTTTGTAAATCCAGTGTACCGAAGTGCGCGCAGCATTCTGGAATTACCTAGAGGCATTATTACCAATATTTAAGTTAGTTACCTTAGTTGGTCAAATTGCTATTGCCAAGAGTTAAGTTATTTCGCAGGTGTTTCATAAAGTATGTTTTTGACTTAACACACAAGTAGTTTTGGTATGTGGGTGTTGGCCGTCTGGAGTTCTTGCAATCATTACGAAGCTGCATTGTCTGCGACGCCTGAAGCTGCCCTGTAACCCAAACACAACTGTTTGGTGGCTACAAGCTATTTAAAGGGATTGTTCCGCCTTCAGGGCGCACTTTACATTCACGCTTTAGTGAAACCTCAGGACCGGTGACGTCTTATAATAACGCTCGGTATTGCCACTGGAGCACCGTCAAGACATCAGGATGCTAAGTTTAATTATTTTCGAGCTCAAGTTACGCTGTGAGCACTTACAGCACTACGCTTCTTCCCTGCGGTTGTCGCGCCCGCCGTTGTCATGAAAACCGCCGTGGTATCTGCACTGGTGCAAATAAAAGAACGTTTGTGATTAGCCCAACGGGCGGCAGGGGCCTGTTACCGAAAAGTGCATTGGTCAAAGTTTGAACCAGTGCGTCACCATGGACCGTGTGGTACTCCCATTCCCAAAGTCGATGTGCGCCCGGGAAAGAGCCAACGTGGTAAACACCACGGGATAAATAAAAGTTATAGCGTAGCGTTTCGTTGAATTCGCGGGATGATAGCTTCATGTTTGTGTACCATTTTTGTTTAAATAGAGTGTTGCAAGCTTTCATAGCATTTATTGTACAAACACGTGGAGAACTTAATGTGTTGCAAAAATTACATCACGCGCACGCTGGAAAATACTCGGCAAATTAAATGTATTACTTTCGTAGTGAGCGGAGAGTCCATTGCCATTTCTTCCGCGGGAGCGGCTCCTTCAGATCTAAATTCTGGGCTATTCAGAACAATTTTGAGAAACTGGTATTGCCTGATCGTACGCGCTTGGTCAAACTTTAAATGAAAGGTACAACAAATGTGGCATTCTCCGTTTTAGGAGTGTGAGTAAACCTTCGTTTTGCGTTGCTGTTAGATTGGAATGGATCCCGGGAACATGGCGATTTGGTGGGGATTACGCTGGGATGTGATGCAATGTCCGACCTTTTTCCGTCAAAGGAACGTACACGATTTCACACGATTTATCCCGAAATTGAAACTATTTCAAAGTTTAGTGACGAAGTGCTCGGCGCAGGCTTGAGGGCGAAACTTTGCTGGAGCAGCATCCACTCGTTGCTGGCGCATGTAGCCTGCCCCGGACAAGTGGGGCGTCGCGAAGGTTCAAGAGAAGGCAGGAAAGGGAATTAGAGGTTCGGGTGAACGCGTTTTGCCATAGATGGCGCAGATATTTGGGCCACTAGATATAACAGACGTGGGGCTGGTAGTCGAGTAACTTAAGAAAGCGCTGTAACCAAAACTTCAAATGCAAGTAAGGGACTTGCCATCGTTGAAAACCATAAAAGGACACAGCGAGCGAAAGTCAAAACACCCAGCTATCATGCTCGCGGGTTTGATTTAAACGCATAAACCAAAATCGTCACCCAGCAGCGCGTAGAAGTGCCCCAGGTGTGCAATGCTGTGCGTAAAAGGGGCAACTCTGGCAGTGACTCTTACATCATGAAAGCATTTCATGGCGTTATCAGGTGAAAAGGTTTTGAGTATATTTTCCGAGTAGACTTGCTATTTAGAACGCCTTTTTGCTTACCCATAATGAGAAGGCGAGCTTTTTCCAATATATCTGGTACCTGCCGCGACGCTGTCGCATGTGGAATGTTTTCTTCCACTCCATTTGCAGGTGTGGACGCAGCTCTGGTGTTTGACATGCAGGGAAGTAACAAGGACACCATCCGGACGTCTCCGCTCCCACAGGTAACCACTGGGGCCTTCACGTAGGATTATATGGTGCTATGTTCTTTCTCAAAGGAATTCTTCAAGGTTGACTTTTTATGTTAACTGATGTTCTTATAAATTGCATGCGTTTTTTGCCAGATAGTTAACGTCTTGGTCGAGAGCTGCTTTTTCATAAATATTTCTGTACATAACGTCCTTATTTGTCTGCACCCGTGCCGTATATTGTATTTTTTGGTTCCGTATGACTCCAAGTTCCCGAGTGGCGTATGTCTGCAGGTATTGTTCATATGGCCATAGTACCTGTTCATAGTACCTGTGAACCGTGTGACATGCCGCCTGTGACGTCATTGTGCCGCCGTCAGCTGGGCAACGTGCTGCCGGCGCCGGCGCTGCCCGGCCTGGTGACGGCTACTGACGCCGGCCTGCAGCTGTGGCGGCTGCCGGCGGCCGGCGACGCGGCGACGCCGCTGCAGCTGCTGCAGCTGGCCTGCCGGCGCGGCGAGACGCTGCTCTGCGCCGCCGTGTCGGCCGACGCCGGCTGGCTGGCCTACTCGACGCAGACGCGGCTGCGGCTGCACCGGCTGGACGTGTCTGGGCCGCGGCCCAGTCTGCAGCGCGTGCGCAGCCTGCCAGCGCCGGCCGCCGGCGCCGCCCACCAGCTACGGTTCACGCCCGACGCCGGCTGGTTGGTGCTGCTGGCCGCCGACGGCCGGCTGGTGCGACTGCGGCTCGCCGCCGCTGGCTGTGACGAAGTGCAGGCGGATGAGCTCGGCCCGGCCGACGGCCGCGCGCCCGACGACGAGGACGAGCCGGACGAGGAGGCGGCGCCGGCCGGACCGCTGCATCTGCTGACGCTGAGCGCGGACGGCCGGCGCGTGGCGCTGGCCGATCGAGACGGCGGTGTGCTGGTGTGGGACCTGGCAGAGGCAGCCGTAGTGGCGCGGCTGCCGCGCCACGCGGCCCCGGCCACGGCGCTGGCATTCCGGCCTGCCGACGCTGCCCGCCTCCTGGTGGCCTACGCCGACCGCGCGCTCGTCGAGTTCGACACCGACGAAGGCCACTTCACCACCTGGTCACGCTGGGCGGCCGGCCACGTGCCGGAGGCGTGGCGCCGCCGCGCGCTGCCTGTGCGCCACGTGGCCTTCAGCGGGTGCGGCACCCGCGTGCTGCTGCACGATGACAGCGGCGTATGCGCGCTGGACGCGGCCGCCGGAGAGGAGGGCGGCTTGGACAAGAAGAGGGCCCGCTCCGCCAAGGGGCGCCGGAAGGTCACCGAGGTGGATCAGCCGGCCGGGCCGGACAACAGCGTTGTTATCACCGACAAGTACGTTTGCGATCTTTCCAAGGCATCGTATGGCCTTTCGCATGTATTGGTAGGGTGTGGTTGCTTGCGCTTTTTTGCGTTGATGACAGCCAGCTCATTAATGGAAAGGTGATGGAGCATTCCAGTGACCTAAGTTCATGATGGCTCTCATTCTTTATCAATGGCATGCTTGCCATGCAGTATAATGTATCACAGGATGGTGGAAAGCTGATGTTTGCCTCAGAACATGAAGTTGTCTTTAGTGCTGATGTCAAAGCCTAGTGGCCCGACATCACCAGGTTAAAATCTGTTTTGTGCCCTGGTCACTAAGCTGGTTGGTCAAGGTCCTGATCATGGCTGGTGTCTGCAGGTACCGCCACCTGCTCTACCTGGGCAGCTTGGGAGAAGACCAGCTGCTGGCAGTGGAGGCCCCAGCCGCTCGTGTGGAAGAAAAGCTGCCGCCTGCGCTCCGGCGCAAGCGGTATGGTGTGGCATGAGCGTGCTGCAGACTGTACATCAGCCATCCGCCAATGCCTTGCTGCGACTGCTGTGTACAAATAATACATCTCTTGGTGACCCAGCATTGGTGTTTGAATTGGCTATACTTGCAACAAGTGTTACTTGGAGGACAGATGGAACCCTGGGTATGAAAGAATGGCAGATAGGGCTGAAAAGACGTGGGGTTGCTGCAGACAGTAGCCCCTTTATATAACAGGCACAAGTTCAGCCATAGTGAAGTTATGCTGACCCAGGATGTTGAGGGGCAACAGACTGGGCAGATGCATGCCCCGAATGTGTTGTGGGTTGGGGGTGCCAGTAGTGAGGTGGTTAAAATTGCCATTAGCTGCTGGGCATTTGGGAAACTGGAGGCACCGGGTTCGATTCCCCACAGTGCCATCCCTTCCTACCAGGGTGAGAGGTAGCCAACGCCATACAGCCCCACAGATGGGTGCATCATAAAGCCCCTGTGAAACACAATGTGTGAGCCTCATCAGCATCGGGTACACGTGCATGTGCCACGCAAGTTTTGCTCAGTTTGTGCCGTAGGAGCACAAGCCCTAGATGGCTACTGTCACGATGAAATACCATGGGCACACTCTGTTGCTCTTGAAGTGCAAATGGTGATACTTCAACAAAGGTGGTAGGGAAACTGTAATGGTGAAGCCTCAAGGCACTGTTCGTATTGGTGAGATGCAATTTGTTACATACAGACCCAACTAACCCTGGAACTCGTCTGCTAAATTGCTAGCGTTGTTTGCGCATTGTTCGCAACACTCACTTCGGAACTGTCATAACTGGCATGTCTTGGGATGTATGCTAGTACATATTTTGGTACGAATTTTTGGTTGCACCACGGAAAAGCAAATACGAAGTAAGACGCGTAAGAATGTGCATCCTCCATGTTGAAACAATGATTGATCGAGTAAAATGGAGCATTTTACTGGGGGATCCTGAATCTGAACTCGCATGTTCATCGCCGGAACCAGTTTCTGAAACATAAATGGAAAATATACTAAAACTTAGAGGACGTGTACGATACAACCTGCGTAAAGTTATCGTAATGATTGAGAACACAGCTGTTCCGAAACCTGTCTTTAATGTTGTAGGCGTCGCCGTCTCTGGGCGAGTGATAGAGGACCGTCTTTTCTGTCGTAATTTGCATGGTTGATGCTAATAGAAGGTAGGCATCATCGGTAATTTTTTACTTGGGTACCTGTATGGCCGACGGAGGGAAGAGCTACGCTAGCTGCAGGGTTTCGAGTATTGTCGTGCGGGGCAAAAGCTGTGAGGCATCAGCTAACATTGTGACGTCACTGAAAATGGTTTTGCATCGATCGGGATCGGGGTTCTTTCGGGCCGACTGAAGGCCATAAGGCTTTTGCTTGTGATATGATGTCACTGGTATTCGGCTGGGTATGTGACGTCACTGGTCGTGAGTATGTAAGGCTCTTTTGGGTCCACTGAATGCCGTAATGCATCAGCTGGCCATGTGTCGTCACTGGTATTCGATTGAACATCAGGCGCGGCCGGCCTCGTTCCATCTTTACTTTTCGTACCTGTCTGCTGCAAGCATTTGCGTGCCGCATAAAGGTTTGACCGAATTACCCCAATGTGTGACATCCCTAATCATCACTTCATACGAGTGCACTTAGGCCCCACGACCACGGTGTGTCGTGGTCCGCGAAGTATCACCGGATAGCGTGACGTCACTGGTATTCGAATAAATACTGGGCGCAACAGGCCGTGCTTCATTTTTACCTTTGTACTTGTCTACTGCAAGCATTGGCGTGCTGGATGAAAGCTGCCGAACCACCTGAGTGTGTGACATCACTGGCCATGAGTTCCAACGGTGCTTTTCGGCCAACTGAAGACCACAAGGTGTCAGCTAGCGACGTCACTGCTATACGACTGTAAGACGTCAATGGCCGTGGGTTTCCACGGGCCCTATAGGACCGACGAAATGCCGTTAGGCATCAGCTGGCGATATGACGTCACTGGTATTTGGCTGAACATCAGGCAACAGGTCATGCTCCATTTATACCTTTCGTACATGTCCGCTGCAAGTATTGGCGGATTTTTTGTGCGGCCAACTAAAGACCATAAAGCATCAGCTAACGATGTGACGTCGCTGGCACTCGACTGTGCGTGTCGCTGGTCATGAGGTTTTACGGCCTCTTTTGGGCCGACGAAAGGTCATACGGCAATGACTGAAGATGTGACGTCACTGGTATTCGAATGAACTTCGGGCGCGACAGACCATGTTCCACCTTTATCTTTGGTACCTGTCCATTGCAAGCATTGCCGTGGAAGGCTCTGCCAAATTACCTGAGTGTGTACGTCACTGACCATTAATTTGCACACTCTTTTGAGCCTACTATAGGCCACAAGGCATCAGCTGACGATATGATGTCACTGGGTTTCGACTAGACATCATGCGCAACAGGCCATGCTCCATCTAAGCCATGTTTCGTCTGTACCTTTCGCACCTATCTACTGCAAGTATTCGCGCGACACAGGGGCTCTGCCGAATTACCTGAGCGTGTGGTGTAACTAGTTATGAGTTAACGCGGGTTTACTCTGGCTGAATGAAGGACATCAAGCATCAGCTGACGATACGACGTCACTGGTATTCGACTAAACTCCAGGCGCGACAGGCCATGTTCCATCTTTACCTTTCGTACCTGTCTCTTGGAAGTATGGGCGTGCTGAATGAGGGCTCTGTCGAGTCTCCTGAGTAAGTAACGTCACTGGTCAAGAGCTTTTTACGGGACCTTTTGTACCCCCAAACGGTATAATGCATCAGCTGATGATATGACGTCACTGGTGTCCGACTTAACATCGGGCGCGACAGGCCATGTTCTATCTTTACCTTTCGTACCCGTCTATTACAAGTATTGACGTGCTGAATGAAGGCTCTGTCGAGTCTCCTGGGTGTGTAACGTTACTGGTCATGAGTTTTTTCTGGCTCCTTGGAACCCTCTATAGGGAAAAATGCATCAGTTGACGACATGATGTCAGTGGTGTTCGACTTAACATGAGGCGTAACAGGTCATGTTCCGTCTTTGCCTTTCGTACCTGTAAAGTATTGGTGCGTTAAATGATGGCTCTGCCGAGTCACCTGAGTGTGCGACGTCACTGGTCATGAATTTTTACCAACTATTTTTGGCTGAGCGAAAGCCATAAGGCATCAGCTAACGAAATGACGTCACTGGTAATCCACTGAGTGTATGACGTCACTGGTCATGAGCTTTTACGGGCCTTTTTTGGCCGAGTTCAGGTCATTAGGCATCAGACAACGTTATGGCGTCACTTGTATTCGAATTAAGATCAGTTGCAATAAGCCATGTTTCATCTTTACCTTTCGCACCTGCCTACTGCAAGTATTCGTGCGCTACAAAAAGGCTCTGTCGATTCGCCTGAGCGTGTGGTGTAACTGGCCATGAGTTTGTGCAGGTTTACTCGGGCTGACTGACGGACATCAAGCATCAGCTGACGATATGACGTCACTGGTAATCGACTAAACTCCAGACGAATCATCTGAGTGGGTGACGTCGCTGGTCATGACTTCATACGGATTCACTTGGGCCGCCCAAGGCCACAAAGCAACACCTCCCGTGAAGCATCACAGGATGATATGTCGTCACTGTTATTCGACTTAACATCAGGTCCAACATGCCACGCACTTTCTTTACCTTTTGTACTTGTTTATTAAAGGTATTGACGTGCTGAATGAAGGCTCCGTCGAATCTCCTGAGTGTGTGACGTCACTGGTCACGAGTTTTTACGGGCTCCTTTGAACCCATTTTAGGTTATAATGCATCAGCTGACGACATGACGTTACTGGTGCTCGACTAAACATCAGGCGCAACAGGTCATGCTCCATATTTGCCTTTCGTACCTGGCTGCTGCAAATATTCGCGTGCTATATGAAGGCTCCGCCGAATCACCTGAGTATGTGACGTCACTGATCATCAGTTGGTAGGAGGTCACTTGGCCACCTACGGCTACGGAGTTCCGCAGCAGAGGTGGGAGATGCACCATAGTTAAGCACACTAATTTTATTGTGCGCACCATTAAGTAAAAACTTCAAACGCAACGGGCTGTTTCAACGACTAAAATTTTGAACAAACGTAAACACAAAACAAAGGTGATCCCAGCCCACAAACCGACGTATATGCAAAGCTATTCCGCCCGGCATCACAGGATGCGCCCCTGAGCAGCTACGGTCCGGAATGCCCTGATGGCTAAATAATAATCAAGGGCGCCGCCTAGCGGCCATAAGTCTGGGCCACAGCCCGAATATCAGTGACGTCATATGGTCAGGTGATGCTTGATGTCCTTCAGTCAGCCCGAGTAAGCCCGCGTAAACTCATGACCAGTTACACCACATGCTCAGGTGATTCGGCAGAGCCTTTATGTAACGCGCGAATACTTGCAGTATAGAGGTGCGAAAGGCAAAGATGGAACATGGCCTGTTGCGCCTGAGATTAAGTCAAATACCAGTGATGTCATATCGTCAACTGATGTCTTGTACCCTATAGGTACAAAAAAGCAGCCCGTAAGGAACTCATGACCAGTGACATTACACACTCAGGAGATTTCACAGAGCTTTCCTTAAGCATGTCAATGCTTACAATAGACAGGTACGAAAGGTAAAGACGAACATGGCCTGTCGCGCCTGGTGTTAAGTTGAATACCAGTGACGTCACATCGCCAGATGATGCTTGATGTCCTTTAGTCAGCCCGAGTAAACCCGCGTAAACTCATAACCAGTCACACCAGACGCTCAGGTGATTGGGCTGAGCTTTTATGTGGCGCGCGAATACTTGCAGTAGATAGGTGCGGAAGGTAAAGATGAAACATGACATATTGTATCTGATGCTTAATTGAATACCAGTGACGTCATATCGTTACCTGATGCCTAATGGCCTTAAGTCGGCCCAAAAAGGCGCGGGAAAACTCATGACCAATGGCGTCACACACTTAGTGGATTACCAGTGACGACATATCGTTAGATGATGCCTAATGGCTTTCACTCGGCCAACAATAGCCTGTAAAAACTCATGATGACGCTCTCAGGTGATTCGGCAGAGCCATCATTAGGCTCGCCAATACTTTAACAGGTGCGAAACGCAAAGATGGAACATGACATGTTGTGCCTGATGTTAAGTCGAACACCAGTGACATCATATCGTCAACTGAAGCATTATACCATATAGGGGGTTGAAAAGGGCCCGTAAGAACTCTTAACCAATGATGTGATATAACACGCGAATGCTTGCAGTAGACAGGTACGAAAGGTAAAGATGGAACATGGCCTGTTGCGCCTGATGTTGAGTCGAATACCAGTGACGTCATATCATCCCGCGATGCTTTACAGGATATGATGCTTTGTTGCATTGGGGCTGCCCAAGTGAACCTGTATAAACTCATGACCAGTGACGTCACGCACTCAGATGGTTCAGCATCACCTTGATATAGCACGCGAATGCTTGCAGTAAACAGGTACGAAAGGCAAAGATAGAGCATGGCCTGTTGCGCATGACACCTAGACGAAAACCGGTGACGTCATATGGTCAGCTGATGTGGTATGGCTTACAGTGGGTTCAAAACAGTCTATACAAATTAATGGTTAGTGACGTTACACACTCAGGTAATTCGGCAGACCCTTCCTTCAGCATTCAAATACTTGCAATGGACATGTACCAAAGGTAAAGATGGAGCATGGCCATGGCCGCCTGAATTGTATTCGGATACCAGTGACGGCACATCTTCAGTTAATGTCGTATGACCTTTCGTCGGCCCAAAAGAGGCCGTAAAATCTGATCACAAGCGACATCACACACAGTCGAATGCCAGTGACGTCACATCATTAGGTTATGCTTTATGGCCCTCAGTTGGCCCCCAAAGATCCATAAAAATGCATGACCAGTGACGTCACACACTCACGTGATTTGGTAGCTTTTATTCATCACGCCAGTGCTTGCAGTAGACAGGTACGAAGCCAAAAATGAACCTTGACCTGTTGCGACCAATATTTAGTCGAATATCACTGACGTCACGATACCCAGTGATATTTCACGGAACATGATACACCGCGGCTGTGGGGCCTAAGTGCACTCGTATCAAGTGATGATTGGTGACGTCACACATTCAGGTGATTCGGTCAAGCTTTTATTCGGCACGCAAATGCTTGCAGCAGACAGGTACGAAAGGTAAAGATGGAATAAGGCCCGTTGCGCCTGATGTTTCATTGAGTACCAGCGACGACATATCGTCAGGTGATGCTTTACGGCATTCATTGCACCCAAAAGAGCCCTAAAGCCTCACAACCAGTGACGTCACATATCCAGTCGAATACCAGTGACATCATATCGCTAGCAAATGCCTTGTAGCCTTCAGTCGGCCCAAAAGAACCCCGATCGATGCCAACCCATTTTCAGTGACGTCACTACGTCGGCTGATACCTAACAGCATTTCTCCATCATGGCAGTACAGGAACCCTGCAGCCAGCGTAGCTCTCTCCCCACCGTCGGCAATACAGGTACCCAAGTAAAAAAAAGCCGGCATCATCTGTGAGATGTACTGGTGTTTTGCTTATTTGAGGGGGCATCTAGTTTAAGTGAACGATGTGCCATACCAGCGGTTCAGATGCTACCTACTTTGTAAGGTGAACCGTGTGGATACTGGCATGCCATCATGCCTGTTTATCTTAATTTTCTGTTCGGTGCATTGGAGCCGAAGCGTTTTTTTTTACTTTTGGCCCCATGTATTCCAAAGTTGACCAGTGTTAAAACTGTAAATAGCTTGTGATTGATGGTGTACTACAGGCATGCAACAACCCTTCGTTTGTTTTTGTTCATGATTCAAAATCGACATGCCTTTAGCAACTGGTAAGTGAGTGGTGTCTGGGTGAAGAAAATGTACATGGAAAGATGTGTGCAGATGCCTCTCAGGTGTGCAGGCACAAAGGTACATGACCTACTTTGTAAAACTTACCAGATCAATTATTTTAGGAATATGTTTGCTGTTTTTGTTGTGTTATCATCACTTTTCATGATCACTTTATTTTCCAACCTCTCCATTCTATCATGTGGTCTGCAAGCATCCTTAAATCATCTGTTGAGTGCATAAAAACACTGATGACAATAAGTCTTCCTTAACATCACATCAAACCAAATGCAATGCATGTTATTATTGAACCATGCTGGTTATCATAATGTTAATGTTATGCTGTTTTTTTGGAACTATTGCAGTGCTTCAAAAAGCAGCATAACATAACACATCCACATTCCTGATCCCAGCTAGGCAGCACAGATATGTTTCTGTGGCATAGCGCAGAGATGTTTCTATAATATGTAAAATGCATGATGTAATTAAAAAGTTATGAGGCTAGTTTCAAAAGCAAAAGACACACCTGATTCCAATTTTAAGTCATTCACTTTGAAGCATCACCATATGCAGTGATGCATCACTCCCAGTCTTACCAGCCTAGAATGCTCTTTTAAGCCTGGCTCTTTAAGCACATCAAGCACCATGTGATGTTTGGTCACCCTGGTCATGTCAAAAGGGTGACCTTGCAGCTTGAACTTCTTTTTCAGGAAAAGGAAGTAGCTGACAGGGAACCAGATGGGATCAGGGCTTGTAACAAGTGATGATGGTGATGGTGTTGGTGTGGTCCAAAGCTAGTGTGGGCGTAGTCTGAATCTAGATGTGTTTGGAATGCACTGTGAGCAGCAGACATATTGCCATGATAGAGCACCCAATTGCCATCACATTAGGTCTCACCAGGGCACCAAGTTCAGCTGTTCACCTGAAATTGCTTATTCCTACCCTCACACATTCAGATATATTTATTTTTTAATTGAATGCAGTTAACAGTTTGGGAGATTATATGTGGACCGAGAGCAATATTTTTTGTTGCAGTTCCATTAGATCAAAACATCAGAATTATTTCAGCTAAATCTATCTTGGATGAGAGGCACTGTAAATGTATGTTTTGTTATGCTATTACAATGACAGCAAGTGACAGGACATGACAGTGATCAAGATGTCAGCATGCTATGACACATAGTTGATAAGCTGCATACAGGTGATTTATATTCAGAATGTGTGAAAAAGCATATCTGACTCTCAACAGCCTTACTTCTACAAATTTTGGTAACTTTCCACACTTTCTCGTCAGGCCTGGAATGCGTTAGCAGCTCCTGAGTGGTCACCATGTGGTGGGGTGGCAGCGAGGGTGCTGAGGCAGCCGCTGAGGCTGTTGAGGCTGCCCCAGAAATAGAGGACATGAAAGAACAGTTTGATATGCAGCAGAACCTTATCAAGCAGCTCAAGGACATGGTGAAAACCCACCAGAGTCAGCTGCAGGAGAAGGAGCAACAGGTTCAGGTAAGTGTAAATGAGCTTCCCCACATGATGTGTGGTGTTGACAGTCAAATATACTAGTGATTTATTTCATAGATGGCTTATGACATTGTTCTTTGTGTTGTTACATATACATGAAAATTAACAAAAATTGTATTGCATACTTTTGCCATTGTTTTGATAAAGGCATGTTGCAGAAATATCAGCAAATCTATATCTCCAGTCTCCTCGTTTTCTCCGAGGAATGAGGCTATTACCACTGTCTTAAAATTGTATCACCTGTCCTGCACTTAAATGGACAAGTATAAGCTGTGAAGGTGTCTTATTCCATCAGTCTGTCCCTTGCCTTCCTACCTTATAAGATGTCAGTGTTTGAGCCATGTCAGCAGTGGTCTGACGTTGTAACGACGCTTGCCGGCCGTGCAACGGCGGGGTTTGTCGTAACGTCGCCCGCCGCCCATGCTTGGGAAGAGTCTGTCGTAACGTCGCTCGTTACCCTTGCAGCGGCTGAGTCGGGCGGAGCACGAGCAGACCTCGAAGCTGGATAGGCTCAGCCAGCAGGTGGCCGCGCTGGAGGAGGAGGCGCCGGCCAACCAGAGCACGGCCTCGACCAGCGGCGCCCAGGGACGGCGCGAGCGCATGCTCGAAATCAAGCGCAGGCTCGAGGAGCAGAGGTGGGCAGCAGTCGCCGGGCAACCGTCGGCTGCTCGGGGTATCGGCGGAAATCGCAGCTGCGCTCGATCAGTTAAGGCTAGCAGAGGCATTGTGTTTGTTGTGGCCCCTGCTGCATGGCTCTTGTGGTATGCACAAACAGTAGTTGGTATCTGGTGGAATGATATATGTGCTTCTGAAGACACCGAGAGATATGTGAAATGCAAGAAAAAAGCAACAAAAAATTAATTTGTTTCGATGTATTTTGCTAGTCTTAGATCGTTAGTAGCCGATGCATTTTGATTCATTGCGTTAAATGGATAACGATTTTATCGATGTACAAATAGGTTAGAGCGGATGGTAGCCGGGAAGGCCAGTGAAATGGGAGAACTCCCGCGCTTGTAACAACCGAAGACGGCAGCCGCGATGTCGGCCAGCACGCGCGTTAAGTGGCGCCGGGAACGGTGGCCGGGCGGCGCGCGTGTCTGACTGCCGGTGCGGCGGCCGGCAGGCGGGTGCAGGAGGAGCGCAGCCAAGAGCGCCGCGTCGACCTCGAGACCATGGTGCGCAACCTGCAGTCACGCATCGAGGACACCGACTACTGCTACGACTCGTGCGACTCTGCCGACTCGGGCTCCGACGGCGACGTCGACTACGGCTCGTCGCCGCGCAAGGTGGGCGTGGCCAGCACGCGATCGCTCGCCACTGCGCCGCCGCTACGGTAGTCGGCTGCTGGAGTGTCCGCCGAGGAGCTGGTGTTGCCCCTGGCTGGTGGTTCGCAGCGTTTATAACGAGAGGGCTTTTTGCATTGGGGACTCCTGCATGCGGGCTCTGTCGTGTTGACGATTATTGCCGCCGAAAACCGGCAAAAACCGATAAAAGCCCATCCTTCTGAGATCGTTCCTCTAAGCGCCTTTCGGTCGTCGCCTGGAGATTGACTCTCCTCCCCTATGCGTACAGGGCCGAAACATCCACATGAGGCCTTCTGCCTGATGCCTTTGTCCGCCAGTGCAGTCCCTATACCAATGGTTCGGATTCAGTGCTGACCAGATGAGCATCGAGCCGAGTGTGGTGCCAGCCTTGCCCCCCCCCCCCCCCCCCACCACTCCCCTTAGTTGTACCGCAGGCCCTCGGCCAACCTCTCTCCCCCGTCCGCAGTCGATGACGCTGAGCGACTCGGTGCGAGGTAAAGAGCCGGAGGAGCTGTACGGCGTCATCCTGGCGAAGGACAACCGCATCTACGAGCTGTCCGACAAGGTGGCCCAGCTGGAGGCCACTGTCGTCGACCTGAAGGTGAAGCGCGTCTGCGGACACGCGGCGGGCAGGCCGACGCTGCTGCTACATTAAAATTGGTCTAGCCTTGGCCTCCGCTGTTTTCCAGGGTGTGTTCTTAAGCCGCTTGCGCCTTGCGGCGGGCAGAGCTGTGGCCGCCGCAGTATTCACTGACGAACTGCACGCCGTCGATCCATCCCACTGAACTTCTGCCGTGTCGTGCTCAGCTCATGCCTCGCTCACCGCCCCATGTCGCCCGACACGCGCCATGTCCGCCGGTGTCCACTAAAACCGCCGGGGCGTGGCGCGGCAAGGTAGGTACGCCGCGGTGGGTGTCCCGGCCTCGGCGGCAGCCAGCCGATTCGTCTGTGACCGTCGCCCGGTGCCCCCTCCCCGCTCAGGACACGCTGCAGGAGAAGGAGTCGGTGATCTCGGCTCGCACGGCCGCCGTCAACCTGGTGACGCGCGCTCTGACCGAGCGCGGCCAGGTGACGCTGGAGACGCTGGACGACACGCGCCAGCAGATGACGGCCATGCAGGAGGCGTTCGCCGTGCACGAGGCCGACTGGCGCGTGCGCGAGGAACGACTCACCCGGCAACTGCAGGAGGCCAACCAGAGGTGAGAGGTTGAGCACGAGCATCCCGGCCTGCCAGCCGAGACTGGAGTTGTTGTGCTGAATTGCCTGTCATGGTCGTCGTCGATCAGTCATCGAGATAATCGAGCCGAGTCATATGTTCAAACCTCGGAGTGCTAGGTGTTGTACTCTGTGTGTATAAATAATAAACTGACGTAATAATAAACTGACGTCCGTGGAAAGAAATGTTACGAACATCCTTGACAGGTGACCAGTAGCGTCGTTGTCAAGAACGTCACTGCGAATAACGTCCTTGACAGGTGATTAATAGCGTCGTTGTCGAGGATGTCACTACAAATGACGTCCCTGACACGTTACTAGTAGCGTCGTTGTCGAGGATATCACGACAGACGACTTCCTTGACAGGTGACTAGTAGCGTCGTTGCCCATGATATCACGACAGATGACATCCTTGACAGGTGACTAGAAGCGTCATTGACAAAGCCACCAGTGAGATGATGTATGGTCGTGTATGATTGCCCTATTCATGAACACGATTTTCAAATCATGCTTATGTGCATTTTGCAGGCTTGAAGCTTCGGAAGAAAACTATAAGAAGGCCGAGTCGACCAGATTTGATTTGGTTATTGCGAACGCTAATCTCCAGGAAAAACTTGTCAAGCTGCAGGCGTCGGCCAAAGACGAGGTAATAATCCACCACTGCATGTATAGTGCGTTACCAACACAGTAGTGGACAGCGCCATTGAGCACGGTAGCCTCTTGCGTGGCCTCGGATGTCCGGCCAGCTCCACGGCGAGCTGACATGCCCGCGCTGATTTGCAGGCCGGCCGCGCGGCGGCGCTGGAGTCGGAGCTGGCTGAGGTGAAGCGGGAGCTGGCCGACTCGCAGAAGATGGTGTTCCGCGTCAAGTCGCAGAAGCGCCAGCGGGTGAGCCAGCTGGAGGCCGAGTCCGACCAGCTGACGGCCCGCTGCGCCGAGCTGCAGCAGCTGAGCGACGAGCTGCGCGAGCAGCTGCGGGCGGCCAGCGAGGCCGGCCAGATGGACGACGCCGGCGCCGTGCTGGAGGCCGAGCGGGACCGACTGCGGACAGGTGAGCCGACCGGCGCGTGGGCGGGCGCTGCGAGCAGCTGAGACACTCAGCCCCAGAGTCTGTGGCACGGGCCCGCCGCCAGGGACGCTTACCCCGGCGTCATGGCGTCGTCACAGCCTGTTCGGGCCATGAACGATACGTCGTGTGGTCGTGGTGGTCGGCATGTGCGTGTTGTGGCGTGTAACGCGCGTGGCAATGTCGTGACGTGGCGGGGCTGACGGGGGCGGTGTGCGGCGCGGCAGAGTCGGCCGACCGTCTGGCGGAGCTGACGGCGCTGGCCGAGCGGGCGGCCGCCCTGGAGCAGGCCGAGGCGGACGCCACGCACGCCAAACTGGCGCTGGTGGCCGAGGCCGCCGCACTCAGCCAGCGGATCGAGGACAAGGACCGGCTGACGGCGGAGCTGGAGGCTAAGGTGAGGTGACGGTCGGGGGGCACCGCTGGGCCAGGTGGGGAAGATGCTGGCATTGACGTTTTGCTTCCTCTAGTTTGGTCCTTTGGGTAGTCTCGCGAGTGGGCCTGTGGCTAACGCCAACTTGCTTGTATACAAGAACAGTCCATGTGTGTAATGTGCGTCGATCAGGTGTATTAAAATATGATAATCAGAACGGAAAATACACCGTTAGTAATGCCCAATGTCAGGCATAATATACTTGCTGTTGGTGATACGACGGGCCCTTTTCCGCTGGCTGCCATGCAAGTACCTAAATGCCAAGGTGGGCTCGTAATCCCATGAAGCCTGTCGAGTCTTTGTCCGAATTCTGGATTACGGGCTACCATTTTAGATTTACACCCATATGTGCTGTCTGTCTGCTATGCTGTCCAGGGGACTGGTTTGGTTCGCTTGTGATAATTACCAGGCCAATAACATCACGACTGTATGCCACGTTGGCTCATCACAGTACTATTCTCGTTGTGGTTCTGTGGCACCATGGTTGTGTCTCCCCTGTGTTCGTGTTTGTGGGGGAAGGCCTTAGGGGAGCTGGGTGCGCTATCTGTGTAAATGTCAAGCTGCGTGCCTGGGAAACCAGAGGTGCGGAGTTCGATTCCCCGCGGTACCCGTCCTTCTTGCCTGGGTGAGAGACAGGCGACGCCATAAAGCCTCAGCAGCTGAATGCGTCGCAAAGCCCCAATGACACCCAACTTGCATCAGTGCAGCTGAAGGCCGCTCTCGTGCTGGCAGATCGCCGAGCTCGTGTCAGCTACGGACGAGAAGGACACCCTGGTCTCCAAGCTAACGTCAGAGAAGACCAACCTGGAGCTGCAGGTGACCGCCCTAACCTCGTCCCTGGAGGAGGCGCGAGTCGGCCTCGACCAGGCCAGCACCAGCTTGGCTGAAACACGGGCCGAACTGGAGGAGACCAGGGCGAGCCTAGAGCAGACCGCCACCAGTCTGTCCGAAACCAACGCCAGGCTGGTGGAGGCGACCGCGAGCCTGCGGGAGGAGCGTGACGGCAGCGAGGCCACGACGGCCGAGCTGCGGGAAGCCAGAGCCGGTCTGGAGGAGGCGAGGGCTGAGCTGGAGAGGGTGCGGGCCGACCGAGACGTCCCAGGTGACGCCCGTCGGCTGGAGGAGGCCGAAGCTCGTCACCTCCAGGTGACGGCGGATCTGGAGGAGCGTCTCCGTGTGCTCGGCGAGGCGGCCGGGCAGGCGCTGACAGCCGAGATGGGAAGTCAGGCCGATAGACAAATCACGGCGGAGGTGGGGAGCCAGGCTCGCAGACAGTCGACGGCGGAAATGGCGAGCCAGGCTGAAAAGCAAGTCACGGCCGAGGCAGCGAGTCAGGCCGATAAACTGGGGACGGCAGAAACGGGGAGCCAGGCTGAAAAGCAAGTTACAGCTGAAATGGGCAGTCAGGCTGAGGTGGGCGGCCAGCCTGAGAGCCAGCTGACAGCTGAAGCGGTCAGTGAGGCTGACTGTCATGCGGCGACGGTGGAAGGCGCTCAGCCCGAGACGCCGGCCGTGAAGCAGCTAGAGGCCCGGCTGGAGGTGTTGATGACAGACCTGGACACCTCGCGACGCATGCTGGAGGAGAGCCAGATGGACCGCGAGGCTCTCCGGCAGGAGGCGGCACGGCTGCAGCAGCTCGTCAGCGGCCTGGAGACGGAGCTTAAGGCATCTGAAGGCTTCTTTTCAGAGCTTCAGTTCAGCAGCAAGCAGCTGCAGGAACAGCTGGACAACGAGAAGAGCGAGAGGGAAGCTATGCGGAACGAGTATGAAGCTCGCAACGCCGAGCTGGAGCGTGGGGGAAGCGGCTGAGGCGGCCGCGGAGCCGCAGGGCGACCTCAAGAAAATGGTCAAGAAGCTGAAGACGAAGCTGAAGCAGGAGTTGAAGGCCAAGTCCTCGCTTGAGGAGAAGGTGGGCATCCTGAAGCAGAAGGTGGATGAGCTCAGGACGAACATCGCGGAGTTGGAGGGCGTCTCGTCTGCCATCAGAGACGCGCCGACGGCGGAGGACCTGGCCGCCCTGCAGGCCGAGCTGGAGCAGGTGCGCGCGCAGCTGTCGCAGGAGAAGGAGTCCAGACAGGCAGCCGACGGTCAGCTCACGGAGGCGCGGAGTGCGCTGGAATCGATGCAGGCTCGGAGCGAGCCGCCGGCCTCAGTGGGGGTGGCCGCTGGAGGAGAGAAGACGGAGAGCGCGCAACAGCCGATGCCGGTGCAGGAAGCCGAGGCTGAGTCACAGGCGGCGGGCACCGCGTCCGAGACCAAGCAGAAGATGAAGCTGATGAAGGTGAAGCTGCGCAAAGAGCTGCAGCTCAAGGCGGAGCTCCAAAAGGAGCTATCGGGCGTCAAGCAGTCCCTTGACGAGACGCGGTCAGAGCTGCACGACGTGAGGAGCAACATGGCTGAAGAAACCAGCCGGACGCACGAGCTCGTTATGGCCACGGAGACAGAGCTGCGTGAGCTGCGAAACAAGCTCAGCGTCGCCGAGAACGAGTTTGCCCAGATCGTCCGCGAGAAGGAGGCGCTGTCGGAGCAGCTGCAGGGCGGCGCCGAGCCGTCGGCGCCCCGCTCGGCGCGCTGCCAGGAGCTGCTGGACCAGCTGGCTGGCCTGCAAGAGCTGCAGCAGCGGGACGGCGACGGTGCCGCACTGACAGCGGCCGTGGAGCGCCTGCAGGCGGAGGTACAGGGCGCAGCCGGCGGTGAAGCGCCGCTGTCGCTGCCTGAGCGCTGTGTCGTGCTGGCGCAGTTCACGCGCCTGCTGTGCCAGGCGGCGCTGGAGCGGCGGCCGCGCGCCGCTGACCTGTTCGAGCTGCCTCTGCTGCGCGCCACCGACCGCAGCAGCTCGCAGAGCTCGCTGCTCAGCGAACGCTCCGAGTCGGCGCGCAGCGAGCCGGCCGGCGCCGAGCCCGAGAAGGACGCGCTGCTGCTGAAACAGCAGGCGCGACTGCGCCAGCTGACTGCTGCCGTCCGCCGCCGCACGGAGATGCGCGACGAGGCGGTGGCCAAGGTGCGCACCCTGGAGGAGGCGGCGCAGGCGCTGAGGGCGCGTCTGGAGGAGACCGTGGCCGAGGTCGAAGCGTTGAGGACCGAGAGGGAGGCTTGGGACGCGGCGATGACCGAGAAGGACGGCAAAATTGCGGATCTGGTGGAACTGACTAGTACAGGTGTCAGTCGAGAACATTGGGAGGCGCAGTTGGCCGAGAAAGACGCTAAAATCACCACCTTGGAAGAAACGAGGTTAAGTGTGGCTGAGGCAAAAACACTGGGGGCGGCAGTAGTGCAGAAGTGCGATGAGGTTGCTGCCCTGCAGGATAAGCTGGCCACCATTGAGTCGAACCAGGAGAAGTGGGAGGCGGAGGCGGCAGAGAAGGATGCTAAGATCGCCACTCTGCAGGAGACGGTCCGTGAAAGCGCTCACAAGGACGATAAGATCGTGTACCTGCTGGAGGAGCTCACCGCCAAAGAGGCGGCCTTCGACGACGCCCGGGAGCGCTGCGAGGCGCTGGAGGCGCGCGTGGCCACGCTATCCGCCCAGCTGGAGAGTCGCGACGCCGAGCTGGCCAGCCTGCAGGCGCAGCAGACCGCTTCCGACCTGCTCTCGGCACTCACCGAGTTCCCGGCCGGCGGCCATCCGGTCGAGTCGGTGCTGGAGCCGGTGCCGGCCACCGGCCGCGGCGGCGACGCTGCGCTCGTGTCGGACGTGCGCGCGCTGATGCAGCAGCTGCGCACGCTGCCGGCGGCCGAGGCGGGTGCGTTGTTCAGCGTGCCACGCGGTCTGGACCTGGTGAGCTTGCCGTCCAGTGGCTCGGAGGGTCAGCCGCGAGACTCGTCCGAAGACAACTGGTCCATGGTGGACGAGCGGCCGTCGTCGGGCGCTGCCTCGCCGCCGGCCGCCGCCGCTAGGGACGCCGCTGCCGCCGCCGCCGCCGCCAAGGACGCCAGTCCGCCGTCCGAGGCGTCCGAGGCCGTGACGGTGGTAGCGGCCACCATCCCGTGGCAGTGGGGCGATGCGGAGGCAAGCGCCTCCTGGAACGACTGGGTGATGGAGGCGCCGGCCGACGACGCCGCGCCGTCCGCCCCGCCGGCCACCGACGTGCCCGGCGCCGAGGCGCAGCTGGAGGCGCAGGCAGCGACCCCCGCGGCCGGACGGCGCCGAGGAGCCCCCGGCAGGTGACGCCTCGCTGACGACTCCGGCTGGCGACGGCTGGGGCTGGTCGACCGGTGAGGAGGAGGACGAGGGAGCACCAGCCGGCATGCCGTCCGGACAGTGGGGCTGGGATGAGGACGCTGGCTGGCCGCGTGACGACCAGCCGCCGTCCGAGGCACTCCAGCTCGGCAACACCGAGATGGTTACTGAGCAGGTGCTGGGCTGCGAGGACGCGCCGGCGCCGGCCGCCTCGGCCGCCGAGCTGGCCGCTGAGCTCAGCGCCGTGCGCGAGCTGTGGCTCGCCACTCAGATGGAGGTGAGCGCTCTGTCTGAGGAGCGCGCGCGGCTCCTGCGGCAGCTGGAGGGAGTTGGCAGCACCGAGCAGCTCGCCGCGGAGGAGGCAGCGCTTCTGGAGGAGGTGACCTCCGGGTTACAGTCGGAGCGACAGCGCTCGCCGGAGAGGGCGCGCGAGGCCGAGGCCGTCGCAGAGGCAAGCGGGGGAGTAGCCCGGCCGGCAGAGGGCGCAGAGCCGCTTCCGGAGGCAAGGGACGAGTCGGCGGCGGTGGAAGCCGAGTTACAGGCGGCTTTGGAGGAGGGCGCGCGGCTGCGACGCCAGCTGGCAGCCGCCGAGGCGGAGCGCGAGGCGGCCGAGCGCCGGCTGGAGGAGCATCGCGTCGACGCCAGTCACCAGTGGTCCGTGCTCAACTTCGAGAACTCGTCGCTGAAGGCCGACCTGGCCGGCAGCATGACGGACCTGATGGAGCTGCAGGCCAAGCTGGACGCGACCGAGGCCCAGCGCGCGGACGCCGCGTGCCGCCTCGAGCAGGAACAGAAGCTCCGAGCAGGAGCTCAGGAACAGAAGCTCCGCAGGCTCGGCGCCGAGACCGACGCTCTGCACGCTTTCAAACTGGAAACGCAGCAGCAGCAGGAGCGACTCGAGGCGCGCGCGCTGCACGCGGAGGCGGCGCGCACCGCGGCCGTGACGCTGGTGGAAAAGACGCTGGCGCAGCTGCGGGCGTCTGCGGCGGCCGTGGAGCGGCTGGAGCGAGAGGTCGACGCTCTGAAGGCGGCCGGTGTGGGCGAGCCGCCGGCCGAGGCCCCGAGCGCCGAGCAGGGCTCGGCCTGCGGTGGACAGCAGCCGATGTCGTCGGATCAGCAGCAGCAGCAGCAGCAGGACCGGCCGGTGGCGCCCCCGCGGGCGGAAGGCACCCTCTATTACGATCAGTCGCAGCCCCAGTTCGCGGGCTACTTCGGCCAGGAGCAGCAGACGACGGGCGCATTCTTTGACCAGGGGCAGATTGGAGCAGATGCTGGCTTTGGTCAGCAAGAGTACTACGGCCAGAGCCAGCAAACGATCGGATCGTATGCGGCTGGCGACGACCAGCAGCCCACAGGGTCGTGCTTTGGTAATGGTCAGCAACCTACGGGACCGGTCCAAGATCTTGGGCCTCAGCAGTACGCAGGAAACTACTTTGGTGATGGCCTGCAGCCGACGGAATCGCACTTCGGTGAGGATCAGCAGCGCATTGGCCAGGGCGAACAGCAGACCGGGTCGCACTTCGGCCACGGTCAGCCGAGTGTTGAGGAGTACAAGTACGAAGCGGCTGTGGCGGAGAACCTCCAGACCACGGGCGACTACTTCAGCCGTGACCAGCAGCAGACCGATTTTTCCTACAGCCAGCACCAGCAGCACGCCACACAGCACTTCGACCTTCAGCAGCAGCCGGCGGGAGCCCACCCTGGCGGCGGCGGACACGGCCAGCAGCTGCTTCCCGACCACGGCCAGATCCAGGCGGCGCCGGCAGGCGGCGGGCCGCCGTCGGGCGTGCCTGTATTCTCCATGTTCGGCGCGCCGGAGGTGGCCGCTGGTCCGGCCGACCCGTTCGCGGCGCTGTGGACGCCGCCGGCGGCAGGGCCGGGCGAGCGCACCGAACCGGAGGGTCTGCCGGCCGACTCCGGCGCCGAGCTGGCCCGCCAGCAGCTGGCCAGCACGTGCCACGAGAGGGACGAGCTCAGGGACCGGCTGGAGACGGCCGGCCGCGAACAGCAGGCGCTGCAGCAGCAGCTGCAAGCCGCGCTCCAGGAGCGGCAGCAGCTGCAAGAACGGCTCCAGGGCCTGGAGCCGGCCGCCGACCAGCTGCAAGCCGCGCTCCAGGAGCGCCAGGAACTGCAAGAGAAGCTGCAGGCGCTGGAGCCGGCCGCCAACCAGCAGCTGCATGCTGCGCTCCAGGAGCGGCAGGAGCTACAGGAACGGCTCCAGGGCCTGGAGCCGACCGCTGACCAGCTGCAAGCCGCGCTCCAGGAGCGCCAGGAACTTCAAGAGAGACTGCAGGCGCTGGAGCCGACCGCCGACCAGCAGCTGCAGCTGAAGTTAGCGCTGCAGGAGCGGGACGAGCTGCGCCTGCGCGTGCGGGAATTGGAGCCGGCCGTTGAGCAGCTGCGGGCTGCCGTGGTGGAGCGGGAGCTGGTGGAGAGAGAGCTGGAGGACGCGCGCCGCCAGCTGGAGACGGCGCACCACGGCCTGGAGCAGGCCGAATCTGACGCGAGCCACCGCCTCAACATACAGGCCCTCGAGTCGGAGACGCGTATAGAGCAGCTAGAGCTGCGCGTGGCCGACCTGGAGCCGCTGGCGACGCAGCGAGAGGAGACCGAGTGCCAGCGGCAGCAACTGCAGGAGCAGCTAACCGCCGCCGAGCTGGAGTTGGTGGCGCGGCAGGAGCGGCTGGCGAGCCTCGGCGCCGACAAGGAGCGGCTGGAACGGTCGGTGGCGGACCTGACGGCGCGGCTGGCGGCGCCGCTCCCAGTGGCACCCGCCGTCGACGAGCCCGTCGTGCAGGCTGTGTCGCACGTGTTTGCCGAGGCGCCGCCGGCAGCGCCGCCTGCTTCCGCTCTTCCGTTCGCATCGGCGCTCTTCGGCGGCTCGCAGCCCATGGCGTCGTCCGCCGGGTTCCTGGACAGCTTCGGCATTATCCCGAACACCCCGCCACAGCCGCCGCCGCCGCCGGCCGTCGAGAAGACGCCGAACCTCGCCGAAGACATCGCCGAACAGCTGAGTCTGCTGCGCGCCGAGAACGAGCAGCTGCGCGCCCGGATCATCGAACTGACGCCGGGCGGCGAGCGCTCCCAGCAGCTGGAGGCGGAGGTCAGCCAGCTGAAGGAGCAGCGGACGGCCGACGAGGAGCGACGGCTACGTCTGGAGACCGAGCTCGAGGAGCGCAACGCGCGGCTACTGGCGCTCGCCGCCACCGAGGAGCAGCTGAAGAGTTCCGAATCGGAGATCGCGCTGCTGCGCGCGCAGCTGGATACGGTGGCCGGTCAAGGCGAGCGCAGCGACCTGGTGGAGGCGGACAACGCGCAGCTCCACTCCCAGTTGGAGGAGCTGACGGCTACCGCGCGCGCCGCGCAGCAGCTGGAGGAGGAGAATGTGCGGCTGCGCACCGAGGCGGCGGCCGAGGTGGCAGCCGGCCGCCGTCTGCAGGAGCAGCTGCACCAGGCCCAGGAGGAGGCGGCGCGGCTGCGGGAGGAGGTCGATCGGCTGCAGCAGTGCCGCGCCTCCGAAGCCGCCGCAGACGCCGCGCAGCGCGCCGCTGGACTGGAGCATGAGGTGACCCGGCTGGGGGCGCTGCTCGAGGCGGCGGCGGCGGAGAAGGCGGCGCTGCAGGCGGCCGGGGCGGGACCAGAGGCCGCCCCGCAGCAGGCGGGCGAGGCGTCTACTGACGATCTCCAGCGACAGCTGACGGAGGCGGAGGAGGCGCGTGCGGCGCTGCAGGCTGAGAAGGCGGCCGCCGAGGCCGAGCTGGAGTCGACGAAGGCCCAGCTGCAGCAGTACATCGACTACTACCAGTACTACGCGGCGTACTACAGCCAGGGCCAGCAGCAGCCGGAGCAGGGTCAGGTGGCCGCCCAGGCGGAGGTCGAACAGTACCACGACCCGAGCCAGGCGGAGCAGCAGGGCTGGGTGACAGACGCCTCCGTAATGCTCCACTACCCCATCAGCGCCGAGGGTGAAGCTGCGCCGGAGCCGTCTGCGCCGCCGACCAGCGCCGAGCTCTCCACGGTGTCGCTGCTGTCGTCGCCGGCCCCGGCAGACGAGACCCCGGTGCCGGCCGACGCCGCCGCCGTGACCGAGACGGTGGTCTCGGCGGCGCAGAGCGTCATCCCGTCCGTGCTGTCGTTTTTCGGCGGCGGCGGCGGTGTCAGCTCAGACGCTGGAGAGCAGGCGAACCTCTCGGCGCTCCGCTCGGAGAACGAGGCGCTGCGCGGCCGCGTCGCCGAGCTGGAGCGGGCGGCGGCGGCCGGCCAGGCGGCGCCCGACCCGCTGGTGGCGCTCACGTCCAGCCCGTTCCTGGAGGAGGCCGGTGCCGCTCCGCTGCGCGCCGAGTGGGGCTGGGAGGAGTTCACGCCGTCGCTGGAGGCGGTGTCGCCGGCGCCGGCCGAGCCGCGCGCGCCGCCGCCGGCCGAGCCGGCCGAGCTGGAGCGGGTGACGGCCGAGCTGCGGGCTGAACGTGAGAAGGTGGCGCGGCTCGAGCAGGAGGCGACCGCGCTCTGGGCCCAGACGGCCGCCGTCGACACGGACAAGCTGGCGGACGTGGTTCGCGAGCTGCAGACGGAGCGGGAGAAGCTGAGTCGCCTGCAGGTGGAGGCGACCGAGCTGCGGGAGCATGCGGCCGCCGCCGCCGCCGGCGTCGAGCGGCTGGCGCTCGTCACCGCCGAGCTCGACGCGGAGCGCGAAGAGGCGCGACGCCTGCGGGAAGAGATCCTTGCCCTGCAGGGGGAGATGGCTGTTCTGCGGGACCAGCTGGCGCAACCGTCGACCCAGCTGGAGGCCGAGCGGGCGGCGCGCGCCGCACCGGTCGCCGACGACGCGGCACAGCTGTCCGCTCAGCTGGCCGAGGAGCTGGCTACGGTGTCGCAGCTGAGCGGCGAGCTTGAATCGGAGCGTGCCGACGTGGCGCGCCTGGAGGGCGAGGTGCAGCTGCTGCGCGACCTACTGACCGATACGCAGGCGCAGCTGTCGGCGGCGCGCAGCACGCCGGTCGCCGACTCGGCGCTCGGCGACCAGGCCGCCTTCTACCGGCAGAAGGTGACCGAGCTGGAGACCACGCTGGCCGGCTCCCGGGAGGAGCTGCAGCAGGCCAAGGTTAAGAACGGCCGGCTCCTGCAGAAGCTGAAGACGGCGCAGAAGGGCGCGCGCGCCCCGGCGCCAGGCGCCGACGGCCTGGATGCCGCCCTGCTGGAGGAGCTGCAGGCGCAGGCGACCGAGGCGCGCCGCCGTGCCGATGAGGCCGAGCGACTGGGTCGCGAGCTGCAGCAGGAGAAGACGCGCCTGGCCGAGCAGGTTGATACCTACCAGGATGCGCAGGCCAGGCTGGTGGACGCCAAGGAGCGACTGGAGACGGAGGCCCACGCGCTGCGTGTGGAGAACGACCGGCTACGCGGCCAGATAACCGACATGGAGTGGCGGCTGGCCGAGCTGGAGGAGGCCGCGGAGAGCCGCGCTGCCGCCGGTGTGACGCCAGACGCCGCCGGTGTGACGTCAGACGCCGCTGGTGTGACGTCAGACCCCGCCGGCGCGGCGCAATCAGAGGTGACGGCGGAGGCGGATTCGGCCGCGCGGTCGGAATTAGCTCGGCTCGCGGAGGAGAAGGCGGTGCTGGAGCGGCGGCTGGAAGAGCTGGAGCTGCGTAACGAGGAGCTGCTGGAGCTGTACGAGACGGCAGCTGCCGCTCCCGATGCCCAGCTGCAGCGGTCGGTGGAGCAGCTGCAGGTGGCGCTGGACGCGGCAGCCAGCGAGAACGCCGCCCTATCGAACCGACTGGCGGCTTACGAATCCCAGTGGCTGGCGGAGGGGGGCGGCGACGCCTCGGCGACCGCTCACCTGTTCCATGCGAACGCGACCACGTCGTTGCAGTCCCCGCCTCTGACCGGCGCGGACCCGACTGCGCCCGCTCCGCCGCCGATGGTGACATCCTTCGCCGCTGCCTTGAGCAGCGCTCCCACCGACGTCTGCCAGTCGTCACTGACTGGCGCGGATCCGGCCATGCCCGCCCATCCGCTGTACTCGCAACCGCCGCTGGCGGGGGCCACCCCGGCCGCCACGGCCGCCCCCGCGCCGCCAGATCTGACCGGCGGCGCGCCTGCCGACCACCCGGCTCCTCCGGCGGAGGCCGACCCGGCGGCGTCGGCCGACACTGACCTGGCCGCCGCTCAGGCCGAGGCCGACGAGTCGGGGCTGGTGCTGCGCTCGCGCGAGGTGATCATCCACTCGATGGCCGACGAGATCTCGAGCCTGCGCGCCACCAACGCCGCGCTGCTGGCCGAGGCGGCCCAGTGGCGCACGCTGGCCGAGGAAGGCGAGGACGGCGACGTGGTGGACGGGCTGAACGAGCACCTGCGCCAGCTGGGCGAGGCGCTGCAGGGCCGTGACGCCCGGTGTCGCGAGCTCACCTCTGAGGTGGCCCAGGTGAGCACTGAGGCCTAGTCGGGCTGGAGCGGGCTCGACGCCGTGACGCTCTTAAGTTCCCGGGCGGGTGATTTCGGTAATGTCGAGACGCAGAATGGATATAGCCCGAAAAGTATAGAATAGATGCCCGAGTGGTGTGTAGTGTGTGATGAGTGATGAGTGGGATGTGTGATGAGTGATCCGATGTCACCTTGTCACCGGGCGTGGGAAGGCCTCAGTGGCGGTTCACAGTATCACACCGAAGAGCGCCGAGCGGGACTTTTTGTTGTGACCAAAGCCATAACAGTTATCGGTTAATGGCAACGTTTGCGACGTATGAAACCACCGTGGTAAACAGCGTTGTAATCCCTCGCCAGTTGCAATGGGAAAGCCGAAACACACGTCGATTTATGGCAGCTGTGTTATTTGTGGCTGCGCGACAGTGTAGGCATGCTGATCCAGATGTGCTGCAACAGGAGAGCATGACTGGCGCGGTTCACGCTGTGTCGGTGCCGCGGGTCTGGCCGTGACTGGTCCGTCCGTCCGGCAGCTGCTGGAGGAGCGGGACCTGCTGCAGCTGCGCCTCTCGTCGGCGCTGCGGTCCAATCAGGCGCACCAGGCCGATGTGCCCCGACCGGCAGACGAGGCGGCTGACGTGCTCCAGCTCAAAGTCAAGTGAGTCTGGGCGCGCCGGCGCGCCGGCGAGTCTGGCCCAGACATGATAGGTTATAGTCAAGAGATTTTGGGAGATCGGGGTTTCCAGGGAGATCAGAAGCTGGCGGTGATTCGTGTCAGCTTCGCGCCGAACTTGACCGTACATGGACCTGACGGAAGTGGTAGCTCGCGCTTCTAGTTGTGTTTTAGTGGCTGCATTCATTTGTCCCGGCTGTGACATCTTCAAGGACCGAAGCCAGGCAATGGCTTCTGATACACTGAAGCGCGTTTCTCACTTAAAATTCGATGTTTCAGACAGGGGTTTCGTGGATCCTCCGTGGGGTCGGGCCCATGTGTGACGGCCGCGTTGTCTTTGAGCTCACCCGTCGCCCTCCTTCTGCAGATTGGCGGAGCTTAAGCAGCTCAACTACCTGCTGGACATCCAGCTGCAGGACGAGGTGGCCGAGCGCCGCCGGTTACAGAGGTCGCTGCAGTTGCCGGAAGGCGCGCAACACGGCCGACCCCAGGTGAGCGGCGGCCGGCTCGGTTACGACCCGTCCACGGCGGGGGGGGGGGGGGGGCGGGGAGGCACGGGAACAGGCGGCCGGTAGCGGTGCGCTTCACTGGAGGTGCGGAGGAGTACTCGGGGCTAATACTTGTTCCGCTTTCTACTGGTATCGATCTCTTGCGTTTGGTCACAGCGCGAGACGAACGCCTGTGCGAGCGCGTGGGGAAACTGCGCGATCCAGTCGCAGGCCAGCGAGCGATCACGTTTATATAACACAGGATTGAATGTCAACTCATAATACATGATCACACTTTCAAGCGAACCGAATGCAAAATTGTCCCCATCTTTTTTCAAGGATTGTCGTTAACTTGCAAGCACAGTTGCGCTTGTGGAGCACTGTTGGATGTGTCATTCTCTCCGACTGAGGGCATTATTATCGACCGCATTTTGTGCCCACTGATTTGCAGCCCCACATATTGAAGGTCTGCTTTGCAGTGTCTCACAATGACCACCAGAATCGCATGAGGCGTGGTAACCAAGGCTGAGCTTAATCTTGAGCTGCTTTGCCGCAGCCAGCTATTATGCTGACAGAATAGGTACCGTGCACTGGAGCTGGGTGTGGCTGGATGGTCCTTGTTGCTTTGTAGTTCCATTACAGTGACTTGCGACGAAGCATACTCCACCGATGTGTGCATTTATGTATACGTGTCTCTTGCACTGCATGTCTCTTCCGGCCTTTGAAGTTACTGATGTACATTCACTGCCAGAAGCTCATAATTGTTCTTGAATGCGTGTTTGTTTTTTAATAGTTCGTGGAATATACGTATGCAGCGTTGATTCGTGACCCTTTTGTTCTGCCATCCACTCAGCATGGTGAACGCTTGATGGCCATTCGCATACATTCTATAATATTTATAACATCAAATGATCCAATACTTCAGATGGTTGCAGCGTGCGTTGTTACCTCTTCCCCATTTGGATCTCATTTCCATAAATGATAATCAGTTTTGTAATGCGCGTGTAATTGTGTTTTTCAGCCATGCAAAATGCACTTGTTTTGCCCGCTGTGATTCTCAAACACTGACGTATGTGGCGGCTGTTTTCAGATGTCGCTCAGTCCAAACACTTCCGACCTGGTCAGCTCATCGTCCAAAGACATTTGATGAAGTGTCGCCTTGTGATGTTTGCGTCTCTAGTGACTTACGATGTGTGTTGTTTGGAGGGCGTGGGAAGCCGAGTGTCCGCCGTGCAAAGGCACGGTCTCCTACACGACGCGGGACTGCGGAGCGCCCGCCCGCTGCTCTGGCCTTGTCAAACGCTGTGGTTTACTATAAGATCGGCGCGTGTTCATAGTGGTGGAACTTCTGTACAGCTGCGTGTGCGTGTGACATGTTACTTATGTAGTGTGAAGGTGCTGCATCTGTAGGTGGGCGGTAGTGGGAAAATGATAGCCATTTCGCCTGATTCGGCAGTTTGCGTTATGGTGTGGGTGAAAATCGAACAATCAGATATGCTGTAAATACGCCCCCTGGTGGCAGCGGCTGAAAGGCTTCCTCGCGGAACGCCGTGTGTTGGGTAATGTAAACCGCGCTGTTGGGATGCCCTAAGTATAACTGGTTGCGACCAAATACGTTTAGCGTGCGTGAAATGGGGTACTTGTTCGCTGACGGGTTTCTCTTCGGCTATATGTATGGAGAACGGGCTCATTTTGCTTATGCAGATAATATGCTACCTTAACTGCCATTTACCGCTCGGCCCACTGACGGCAACGCTCCAAATTATATGCGGGATGAAATACGCCATTCCAACCTGTACTCAGTTTATGCTTTGCGAGATAAACATTATTAATACAGTTATCTTGGATGTAGTTTGGTCTCAATGGTCCTCATAGCCGTGTCATGGCTACCGCTACATTCCTGATGAGCAACTTATCCTCAATCTGGTAAGCATTACCAAAGACATAGGAGCGGGGGCCTTGGGACCATATCACCCCAGACTGTCTGAAGATGATGAGCATTTCACCTGACGTCGCCATGTGATGACGACGCATAGCAAGAATCGGCCCCAAAGTCTGTTGTGGCACCCTCACTTCCTGAGGTGTTTCTTCGCCTGTGAGCAGCAGCCTCTGTCGCTTTATACCTTTTTGTCGTGCACTTACGAAACCCACTTATCTTCTATTTAGGTCAACCACCAACAAGCCCTCGCTACGGTCGCCGACTGCCGGTTACCCACGCTCAGTGTCGCCGCCTGGAAGCTGAAGGCGCTACTGTGGCTGAGGTGGCCTGTGGACACTATCCCTATGCGCCTTCAGTGGCAATAGTCCGATCCGCGATGGCAAGGCGACTAAATTTCATGAAGCACCTATTATTTAAAATAGTCTACTCAACCATTTGGTCATTGCACGACGCGGGCTGTCACGCACCCAACTCCGGCGGGTGAATCAGCGCGCTTAGTGTGTAACACTGGTGCGTACCGAACACGGGACAGATTTGATATACTAGTGGGCGTAAAAGGAACGCTTTAGTCGACATGCCCGACAAATCCAAACATCATCGTCAAAGGGCAAAGGCGGGACGATGTGGCACGCGCTCTCGGTTTTTGAGGCGCGTGTTCTTGTCCCCCGAGTTGCGGTGCTTTGGTCGTACTGCTACCAGACGATATGGAGCAGAGGCTACCACACTGGGTCACTAGATAAAAAGCGGTCATATTTGTTGCGCCTTTTGCATTTGCCAAGGCATTGTTTATGTTCACGTTAAACAATGTCGGGAACTGCACTGCTACCTCGCATGAGAACAGCCATAGGGTTAACCACGGCTGTGAAATGGGGCTAGAAAAATCAGGATCGTGGGGGTCAAATCGGAATTTGGCGGACAGCGAGCTGGAAACGGCATTTTGAATGGAGAGACATGAAAAACGTGCAGTCTCCGAGGCGAAATTGAGTGATAAAACCCTTGTGATAAATTCTAAGGGAAATATCCATTCCAAGTTCCAGACCCTTCCCCCCATCGTTACACCCATTAGAGCGGCAACGGACGCAGGAGCAGTCTCGGTAGCTCTCACGGCGGCAATCGTCTCATGACTTTCACGGTCTGGATGCTAGATATCCGGGACGCGGCTATCCACATGTACAACAGGATTGTATGGGTGATGTGGAGTTCCCGTCATTTGACCTTGAAGATCTCATGCAGATTCAGTGTTCTCGTGCCATTGTTGAACATCAGACGCACTTTTATCGAGATCGGAACGTTTTGCCCCGAAAATCGCTATCCAAAACGATAATTTTACCGGCGTCTTTCCATTCACGTGATTAGGGACTCAATAAACGCCATTTTGGCCAATATGTTCAAAGCTTGCTTACCATCACTAGATTTAATACAAAACCAACGCATAAGTGCGGCTGTTTGAGTTTCCCTGCTGACGTGTCCGCCGCATCGTGTCTTACCGAGCAACACTGGCCGGCTTGGGTCCCGCTCCCGCATTACCGGGGCTGTGCCCGCATTTCTTGAGCCGTGGCTACAAACCATCAGTTTGTACCCTAAGTCACACTTCTAGGTTGTGTTCACTGCTAGAACGCGTTGAATGTGCTGCTGAAGATGTTGACCAAGTTTGAGACAAAGTCTGCGAGGGTTAAGGGCCTGTCGTTTCATCCAAAGCGACCATGGGTCCTAGCGAGGTAAATATCGCTGTATTCACGTTCTGCACCTTAACATAACACATAAGCTTCTAGAATTGTGTGGCTGTTATTTACAGGCTTGATTTGTGAGGTTGTCATTTGCATCGCCTGATTGCAAGAACAGATGAATGTTGCAAGCTGTTCAGAAGCCCCTCATGTATATTGAACTATTGTTGTGTATTACTTGAGCTGAAAAGGGTGACACAAATTGTCTTCCCTCCTTACTCAACAGATTTCATCCTGTTGCTGTATCATCTGAGGAAGTGTACTTTTGTGGGTTGATGTTGGTAAATAGAAAAGCCAGTAATATGCAGTTGCAAAACAATGAAAGCTAGTGATTAATGTTTACAGGAATGAAACAAAAGGATGAAATAATAAGACATGTATGCATAAGTGCAACTAGGATGCAAATCCTGTGATGCTGCAACTAATAAAATTGCCACCAAAATATACATCATCAAGAAGCCATCCAGTCAGTTGTACAAAATTGCATGTCTCCTGTACATTGGTAGTTGTTATAGATGTATATGGTTAAGGCTGTCATTTTTTGTACATTTGTATGTCAAGTCATGGTATTTTACTTAATGCTATTCAATAGTAATTAGTATGCATAGGTAATCATGCTATGATTTATTTATCTATTAATTATCCATTTCATATGTATGAGGGTTAGCTGTACATCAGGTGGTTGTATAATTAAACTAAACAAAGTTTGGTACCATGCCATTCATGGCCTTGTTAATGATCTCAAAAAATTGTTAGCATTTTGATTTGGTTTGGCAAGAATGCATCCATGTTGACATTGGCTTTTCTTATTGCTGTAGGTAGTTTTGTCATTTGCCAACCATATTGAAAACCTATGAGAACTTACCTGGAAGACATCATTGCTACATTTACACCTGCTGTCAAAGCTGCCATTCTCTACTGGGCCGTGCCTTTTCATGAATATTTATCTTGTTTTTCTATGGTTATTCCACATGGAAGAATCCATCAAAGAATATGTAGATTTGAAGTGTGGTCCACCAATGTAGTTTGTATGTAGGTCCACTTACTCAAGTTTTTTAGGATATCTCAAATAATTTGGTCAGCCATAACATAGTTTTGTATTGCTGAATTTGAAGCACTTGTAACTGGATGGCGCTTTTGATTCTGTCGCCATTTCAGGCCATCACAATATTGCCTTACTCTGAATGGTCTGCAGCAGTGTCCAAATTAAGGTTTTCCCAAGGGAAGAGTAAGAATGTATTTTTCTAATATGAACTTTCAGGGTGATGAAGGTTGCACATGGACAGAAATGTGCATGGCATATCAGCATTCAAGTTGTGTTATGGCCAATTAAAGGAAGTCAAGGATCAATATGTCTGGCAGCAGCACTTTTCATACATGTCCAGGTGGCTGATTGGATATCCTTCATTCAGGTGGATAGAGAGATAAGAGAGAGAGAGAGATTAGAGAGAGATTAGAGAATGGATAGGTCTGTATCTGAACTTGCTTTTATCAAAATTTGAGGTTCTGTGTCATGACCTTGGCTCAAATCAGGTCAAAAATGTTAAACTCAAGGTTTGTATTGCAAGTGCTCTCAGACCTCCTCATGCAACCCCTGTGAAGCTAGATGCATGATTCAAGCAAAAGGTCAACAAAGTCAGTGACCTTTTGTTATCTTTGATATCAAGGTGACCAATTACCTAGATGATTGCTCCAATTTTGTCATTTCAATAAGTATCAAGGATCACACTAGGTGGTGTGTTGTAAGAATAGAATGCTGACGAGGGTCATAAGAGGTCAGTGACCTTCTCAGACCCTAGAAAAGTCCATAGAACATGTGTGTTACAGTCCCTGACATTGATAAACTAGAAGTGAGCATCAGAAACTACCCCATAAAACCAAACTCTTGTGTACAAAAGAAGGTTAGTTTTGACCTCAGTCAGACCTTCATACCTGGCCCTAGGTCAATGGAATTAGTTGTAATTCTAAATTTGATTGGATTATTGCCTAAGAAGCCATCTCAGTCCAGGTATGGCTTCATCTGACACATTCTTTTAACATGACATTGATGTGATTCCCCAGAAATGTCTTTACTAAAAGCTATGGCCTGAGCTTGACCTGCCATAGGTCAGCAACCTTACAAGATACATGTAATTTTGTACTTTAAAAGATCTGCTATTCAATGCTCTACAGCTGTGCAAAGTTTGACTCAGCTACGCTGACATGGTCTAAACTGATGAACTCTTGCGCTAGATGATGGTCTTTTTTTATCCCTGCTAAGCTGGCCCCATAAATACATTTTTGGTGTTTCTGAGCTGTCCTTTCACCTCCAATTTGGGAATTGGATGAATGGTGGTAAAACCTTTGGAACATCTTGGACAGCTGTGTTATTGCTTTTTGGACAGACAGCTGGACCATCCTCATGCTTTGGATTGGGCCTTGGAAAAAAACTTCTGGAAAAATGCCACCCCTGGTTACAACATGCGAGCCAATGACATGGCAGTTCATATGCTGTTGTTAAGAAATATGCAAGTTATTGGTATTGTCTGCCTCATTGTGACCAGGACCATGTTTTGCACAGATAGTTAGCCTGTTACTGACCCAACTAGTATAGTTTGCTTGAAAGGTGGCAGTTGTCATAAGCTGACTACCAGAAAAGTTTCATGTCTGAAGGGCATCTGGCCCATACAAGCTATCCCATTAGCTCATGTTTGTGTATGGTTGTAATGGTGTAGCACCTGTTTTCAACTGTTTTGTCATGACTGTGTTTTGATTTTGCTCTGGTGTTATGAGTGGCAGTCCTCAGCAGATAAACTGCCTGATGTTTATATGATAGGTTTAAGCATGGTTTGTGTTGTTGCAGCTTGCACAGTGGCGTGGTTCAGCTATGGGACTACCGGATGTGCACGCTGCTGGAGAAGTTCGACGAGCACGACGGCCCGGTGCGTGGCATCGCGTTCCACATGCAGCAGCCGCTGTTCGTGTCCGGTGGCGACGACTACAAGATCAAGGCTAGTGATGACATATTGGCATGGCTGCTATGCCGTCCAGCCTCGAGGATTCGATGGCGTGCAGTTGCTGTTTGGGGTATTCTGGTCACAGTTGGCGGCATGCACCACATGAATCCTTCAACTGCTCGGCAGTGGAATTTTGAGGGTTCCAACTTTCAAGGTGTTCTACTGAACAAGTTTCATGGCTTATTGGCATTGCTCGTATAAATCGCGGCTTACAAGTGCCTTCAGGCCATTTGGAATAGGCGTTTTGATTTCATAAAGACTTGTTTGAGGATGGTGGTTTGGTGTAAAAGGGTGCGTTGGCATGAAGACCACTTTGCTTGCACATAAAACGTGGTCCTCGGTGACCTACTTGATCATGAGGTTTTGGTGGCGCCGCGTGTTGCAGGTGTGGAACTACAAACAGAAGCGGTGCGTGTTCACGCTGCTTGGTCACCTGGACTACATCCGCACCACCGAGTTCCACCACGAGTACCCCTGGATCATCTCGGCCTCCGACGACCAGGTGGGTCCGGGGAGCCTCACTCCCGGCGCGGAGCACCAGGTGGATCCGTCGCCGCCTTACTCTCGGCGCGGAGCACCAGGTGGATCCGTCGCCGCCTTACCGCGCGAAGCACGCGGCGAGTCCGGCTCCGCCTCAGGCACCGCGCGGGGCACGCAGTGAGTCCGGTGCTGCCCCACTCCCCGCGCTGGGCACGCGATGAGTTCCGTGCCGCCTCACGCATCGCGCGGAGCATGCGGTGAGTCCGGCGCCGCCTCACTTCCCGCGCAGAGCACGAAGGCAGCGCTGGTATATGATAACGGCGCTGAACACCACAGCGTATATATGGCTTCAGGACATAAGGTTGTAAATATTTGTGTAGTTTATTGTTCGAGAAGAGGGGGGGGGGGGGGGTCACGAAACACTGCTGGACGCTTCTGGCCGACCCGGCGGCTCCGGTCAGTGTTCGGCAGTCCGAACCAAACCGATGGATGAAAGAGCGAATAAACACCCCCATATCTGAAATCTGTATGTGTCTGTATCCATGTAATAATTATATTTGACACTTTCACTCTGACTGTATGCTTCCAACGTGATCGGAACTTAAGTAGGGTGGCAAAAACTTGACGGGACGCTGGTGGTCAGCTTTGATAGCCATTGCTATGTAGAGCCTCGTTCGACAATTGTAATGCAAGAAACTCGTACATTTTTACGTTCTGCGGATTTTTGATGGTTTCATGTCAGATGCAAGTAACTCGTACATTTTTTACGTTCTGCCGGTCTTTGATGGTATCATGCCAGCCTTTTCATTCCTTTGTTTTCGCTTCTTGGCCGGCTAGCTTCGTTTTTTATATAAAGTTAACACTGATGCTGTTTGAAACATTCCATTCATGTTTCATTGCCATTGGTTGAAGGAAGTATCGCACACTTATATGGGGTTTCGAACTGAGACAGCCATCTTGAAGACCTTTCGCTGCGGCCACAAGCCTGACCTTCGTTAGACCTGAGCCCCTCTAGTTTCTGAGCTTTACACCCGCGAAAATGGGAAAAGATATATCGGGGAGATCATTTCAAGGTCGACTTGGCATTCATAATGTTGTAATAACGTCGTTCGAATCCCGCCATTCCATAAACCATGCGACAACTAATACCAAGAATAATTGATTTTTTGGGACGTTAATATCTTGCGTTCATCAGGACGATTTCCAGATATAACGGCCGTCGATTTGCCCTCAATCATTGTTTTGCAAGGTACGATGACGTAACCAAGCCATGACGCGTTGAGGAGCATATTTACTAGCAGATAATTGTGCTGTCTAGACCAGTCTTTTTCACGGAAAAAGCACACCAGCAATTATAAGTGAGCTTGTTTCACGATATCTGACGCGTGCTTCAATATCTTCAAATGTGAAATATCCCCTTTAGCACGATTCATAATGGAAAATGTTCATATTTGCTGCCGTTGTGCCATACTATGTAATGCGTTCGGAATTCGTTGTGCTAATTGATTGGAATGCCCAGCTGTGTCTTCCTTGGTCGACCGTCGGTGGACCCGTCTGACCGCCGGCGGACCCGTCTGACCTCTGGCTGACGCTCCGCTGACCCCGGCAGACCATCCGCATCTGGAACTGGCAGCGCCGCAGCTGCATCTGCATTCTGACGGGGCACAACCACTACGTGATGTGCGCTCGCTTCCACCCGTCCGAGGACCTGGTGGTGTCCGCCTCGCTCGACCAGACCGTGCGCGTCTGGGACATCAGCGGTGCGTGCGACGGGCCGGGTCACGCCCGGAGGAGGGCAGCTCGAGGCCGTGTCACGCGACGTGCCTGACCGTCAGTGGCTCGGGTGGGGGAGGGGGGGGGGGGGGGGCGGCGCCGGGGGCGATTCGTTCGTCTGGTTTGGTGTGATGACGTCCGAGGTCGGTTGCGCGAGCGCCCCGTTAGCTCTTGACTCTTGTTTTGGCAGTACCTCGTTTGTATTTTTGTGCTGGAGCTCTCACAATTTTGTTGTTGTTGTATAACTAACTGCTGTTTTATTGCGTCTCCATAGGCATTTACCTATCAATGCGCGCGTCAACCAGCACCGAAAGCGAGATGAATGAAGGCTGTAACGGCGTCCAGTATCATTTTTGTCCTCCATGCCAGCTTGTCCTAATATTGCTTGTTTAACTTGCATAATAATATAGCAGCTTGTCTGAAAAGTCCTCGTGACCTTGGCCTTGCTGTGCCCAATGTCCGGCGCCGCTGCCGCGCTGTAACGCCCCGCCGACGGTCGCCAGGTCTGCGCCAGAAGCACGTGGCGCCCGGCCCGTCCGGCATGGACGATCACGCCAAGGCGGGGCACTCGCCCGACCTGTTCGGCCAGGCTGACGCCGTGGTCAAGCACGTGCTGGAGGGCCACGACCGCGGCGTCAACTGGGCCACGTTCCACCCGACGCTGCCGCTGATCGTGTCCGGCGCCGACGACCGTCAGATCAAGTTCTGGCGCATGAACGACACCAAGGCGTGGGAGGTGGACACGTGCCGCGGACACTACAACAACGTCTCGTGCGTGCTCTTCCACCCGCGCCAGGAGCTGATCCTCTCCAACTCTGAGGACAAGTCCATTCGCGTCTGGGACATGAGCAAGCGCACCTGCCTGCACACGTTCCGGCGCGAGCACGACCGCTTCTGGGTGATGGGTGCGCATCCTTCGCTCAACGTGTTCGCCGCTGGCCACGACTCGGGCATGATCATCTTCAAGGTCAGTGACGTCCGTCGGCTGTTGGGGGAGGGGGGGGGGGGAAGAAAATGACGACAGTATGCATTTAATCTGAAGTAGCACTTGACGTACACCCAGTGACACGCCAAAAGAGGAAGCGTGCTCTAGCGATTGCACGTAACCGGAAGGTGAGTGGCTGGGGCAGTGTACACTCGCCGAGCTGCTGCCGCCGTCGCCGCTGTCCCGGCCGCCGGTGGCTGCCTGCCGGCCCGGCTGAGTCGCTCAGTCGCTCGTCCATGTCCGGCAGCTGGAGCGAGAGCGGCCGGCGCATGCCATCAGCGGCAACATGCTCTTCTACGTCAAGGACAAGTTCCTGCGCCGGCTCGACTTCACCACCAACAAGGACGTGGCCGTGATGCAAATCCGGCTTCTGGGCCGCACCAAGCCATACAGGTGGGCGGCCGCCGGCACTGCCGGTCCGGCCCAGCTCGGCTCTTGACTCCGGCGCCAGTGGGGACCTGTGGTGGCACAAGCCAGGCTGGCAGGGTGGTAAAAGATCGTGTGTGTGCTCACCACTCATCACACACGACTCATCACTTTGTCTTTTAACTGTGAGGTCGTTGCGCTCGCATTGCGAAATACTAAACGCGCCATGCCAGTGCGTATGGTGTAACCAAGGATGTGCAAATGTACCGCTGTTGGGCTTTAACCTGATTTGATGTACTTACCGGCGCTCAGGGGTCGGGGGGGGGGGGGGGGGGGGGCGGGAGGGGAGGATGTGCTGGCGCGTGCGTGCCGTGGCGTGCTCGGCTGGCTCTGACCGGCCGCTGCCGCCCAACAGCCTCTCTTACAACCCGGCGGAGAACGCGGTGCTCATCTGCTCGCGCCCCTCCAACACGGAGAACTCCACGTACGACCTGTACCAGGTGCCCAAGCAGACGGACCCGCAGAACCCGGAGACGCCCGAGGGCAAGCGGGCCGCCGGCCTCAGCGCCATCTGGGTGGCCCGCAACCGGTTCGCCGTGCTGGACCGCAGCCACCAGGTCAGGGGAGCGGGACGCGCGGGCCGCGGTCGGGTGGTGACGAGGGCCGGGGTCGGCCGAGGGCCCGACGGCAGCTGGGACGCCTTGGCGAGACAGGAGAACGTCGGGACAGTCGGATGGCGTCTCTCCGGCGATGTGATGGCATGGATCGGCGTTGGCAGGTCCTCTGGGGCTGTGCGGTTGTGGAGATGCATCCGATATCTAGTTGGTTAAATAGCCGCGATATGCTTCAAGGAACCTCCGGTGATCCTCCGAGCGCGAGAATTGTCGACGGCTATGGCATGGGCTGCGCCGTACGTGTGTCGTTGTAACGCCGCGCTGGCCGGGTTGTCTCAGATCACCATAAAGAACCTGAAGAACGAGGTGCAGAAGAAGGTGCAGGCGCCGGCCTGCGATGAGATCTTCTACGCGGGCACGGGCATGCTGCTGCTACGCGACACGGACGCCGTCACCATGTTCGACGTCCAGCAGAAGCGGTGAGTGGGCCGCACGCGCGCCGCCGGCCGACAGGCGTCGAGACCCAGCTGGCTCGGGACTGGACTGCGCGCTCAGCACTGTCGGCCTCAATACAGCTCAGAGACGCCGTGCCGGTAGGCGGCTGGTGAGGCTTATCGGCTGTATTTGGCCGCACGGGAGGGCAAGATTTGTCTACCGTATCAAGGTTCAGCTTTTGTGGTGGTGTACGTTGTCACAGTCGGTGCACTGCAGCTTATGACGTGTTTTGGCGTCCCATGGCCTAAAGGTATCCCCGCGCGAGCTCTCTTCGGCACGTGTGTCTTGTTCGTTCTGACCGCTGCCACAAGCCAATTATTCGGGTATTTTCGCTGCGATGTATGCGACTGAGAATGTGATAGTGGATCTGCGTCCGTGCGTCGTTCGAATGAAAACAGAACGGCTGTCGGCGGTCACCTTTCGCGTGCCGGTGGAGGTGTCGCCCGGCCGACTGGGCGCAGATCTGTGTCGTGCCGCGCCGTGACCCGCTCCGCTCCGTCTCCCCCGCTCAGGTCCACGGCTAGCGTGAAGATCAACAAGTGCCGCTACGTGGTCTGGTCGCCGGACATGTCGCATGTGGCCCTGCTGGCCAAGCACGCCGTGCTGGTCTGCAACCGCAAGCTGGAGACGCTCTGCTCGCTGCAGGAAAGCACGCGCGTCAAGTCGGGCACGTGGGATGACAGCGGCGTCTTTATCTACACCACCTCCAACCACATCAAGTACACGCTCACCAACGGGTAAGCGGCGCAACAGGCGAAACTGCCGTGCGTGAAGATGTGACAGGATCGTTGGTAAAGGCGTGCCAGGACCAGGCTCCGTGGTTTGTGTCGAGTAACGTGCTGGTCGGTCTTACTGGCATTGGGTGTTGCGGTCGATTGAAACTGTCGTCCGTGCCGTAGTTGTGTGCGTGTCCGACAGCAGACAACATGCTGACGACAAGAAACCCTCACGGAAGCTGCACTTTGCCTTTGCCTCGTGCGCCCCGTGCCGACGCATCATTGCCGTAATAATTCACTGTTGCCTTCATCCACAGCGACAACGGCATTATCCGCACGCTGCACGTGCCCATCTACCTGACCAAGATCAAGGGCAGCCAGGTGCACTGTCTGGACCGCGAGGTGCGCGCGCGCATCATGAACGTCGACGTCACCGAGTTCCGCTTCAAGCTGGCGCTGGTCAACCGCAAGTATGACGAGGTGAGCTGCTTATAACGCGCGGCATGGCCTGGTGCACCAGGCGACGGACGGAGTATACTAAAGGCCGACATTCATTGTTGTATAAAGCCTGGATCCTGATCATGTCCGCGAGGCATGCGGTGAGCTGATGACACGGTGTGGATGAGTGGACGGTTGTAGTATGATGCGGCAGTCGTGTTCGGGATTCAGAGCCCCGGCGAACGTTGGCAGGTTCTGCACATGGTCCGCAACGCCAAGCTGGTCGGCCAGTCCATCATCGCCTACCTGCAGAAGAAGGGCTATCCGGAGGTCGCCCTGCACTTCGTGAAAGGTGCCAAACGCGGGCACAGCCACCTTTGTTGCATACACACTGAATAACGTGGGTCTTGCCGGGTCCATGCTTGCATCACAGTTTGGGTGCTAACGGTAGTTGTTCTGTCGAACGCCGCCCTGGTCGCCCCAGAGGCGCTGCCGACTGCCGTGTGTATCTGTCGTGTATGGGTGTGCGGCATCGCGACTGCCGTGTGTGATCCTTGCTAGCCCGGCGTGCGATGTCGAGTTGCGCACTGCGTACAGTACCTCTCGTGTCAAGCGTGCCGCGTGAGGCGCCTTCGCACGCGTGTGCGCGCCCCGCGCGTCTCGTGGAGTGCGCCGCATGCGTTGGGTGACGTGTCGCGTGGCAGCGCTGGCGTGTCGTCCGTGGCGCGGCGCGCGCCGGCCCGCGGCGGACCGGTCGGCTCACGTGCCGTCTCGGCTGGTGCCGCAGACGAGAAGACCCGGTTCGGTCTGGCGCTGGAGTGCGGCAACGTGGACGTGGCCCTGGAGGCGGCGCGGGCCCTCGACGACAAGGACTGCTGGGACAAGCTGGGCGAGGCGGCGCTGATGCAGGGCAATCACCAGGTACGGCGCGACCGGCTCACCGCCGCCCGGTGACGTGACTGTGAAGGGTGGAGGTTCTCATTGTCCCTCGTCTTCGTCCTCGCAGAGAACCGTTCCGCCGAGACGTGAAGCACCATGACCGCACTTCGCATCAATGGCTATCGAACGTAAAGCACAACTTGCGATCATGCATCATGCGACTGAATGATCTGACAGGGCTTTCCTCAGGGGCGTCCCAGCCCGTCACCACCACCACCTGCGTCATCGAGTGACCGCGCCGTCTCTGTCCTTCCCAGGTGGTGGAGATGTGCTACCAGCGCACCAAGAACTTCGACCGGCTCAGCTTCCTGTACCTCATCACCGGCAACCTGGAGAAGCTGCGCAAGATGATGAAGATCGCCGAGATCCGCAAGGACACGTCCGGCCAGTACCAGAGCGCCCTGTACCTGGGCGACGTGCCGGAGCGTGTGCGCATCCTGCGCGCGTGCGGCCAGACGCAGCTGGCCTACCTGACGGCCGCCACGCACGGCCTGGAGACGGAGACGGCCGAGCTGGCGGCGGCCCTGGGTGAGGACGCCGAGCTGCCGCAGCCGGAGCCGCAGGCGCAGCTGCTGCAGCCGCCGGCGCCGCTTCACCAGAGCGACGACAACTGGCCGCTGCTGACCGTCTCGAAGGTACGGCTCGGTGGATCCGGCCGCCGGTGGTTCGTGCTCCCTGCAGCCCGCCGGCCGCCGATCTGTCGGCGCAGCGACGGGACTAGCACTCGGGGGCCCCGTGGTCTTTCGCTCCATGCTTGCATTGCGAGCGCCTGTGACGCGTTGCCAACGTTCTGTAATCCGTCCTTATTGTCGCGCTGTGTCGTCCACAGCCGCTAGGTCGACCCCTGGCGACAGGCTTGGCATGTGGCGCCTCTCGCGCTACGGCGGCTAGACCCTGCTAACCGCGGCCGCCCTCGCCTCCCCGGCAGACATTCTTCGAGGGCGCCATCACGAAGCCGGGCCGCGCGCCGACGGCCGTGGCGTCGGCGATGGTGGCGGACGCGCCGGACGAGGGCGCCGCCGACGGCTGGGGCGCGGACGCCGACCTCGGCCTCGACGAGGAGGGCGACGGCGAGCCGGGCCTGGACGGCGCCGCCGGCGACGAGGGCGGCGGCTGGGACGTGGATGACGACCTCGAGCTGCCGGCCGACCTGGAGGTGCCGGCCGCCGCCGGCGGCGGCGCCGACGACGACGGCTACTTTGTGCCGCCCACCAAGGGCACGCCGCAAACGCAGGTGGGCGGGCGGACTAGACCGGCTGGCGACGGGGCTGGCGGTTGGAGGACTCGCGATGATTTGGAGGCATAAAGAGATTGACAACTTTATCAACTGCTGCTTGTGCGAGATGAACCGGCTTCAGTACTGCTCATGTGGGTGAGCAGTTGACTTGCACACTGTTACTGGACGCTGACCGACCTGACCCCGCTCTGCTGACCCCGCTAACCCCCGCCGGCGACGCCGTCAGGTGTGGACGCGCAACTCGCAGCTGCCGGTGGATCACGTGCTGGCCGGCTCGTTCGAGTCGGCCTTCCGGCTGCTGCACGACCAGCTGGGCGTGGTGGCGTTCGCGCCCTACCGCCAGCTGTTCCTGCAGGCGTTCAGCCAGGCGCGCACCTGCTTCCCGGCGGCGGCCAGCTCACCGCCCCTCTTCGGCCACCCGCACCGCAACTGGAAGGAGGCCGGCATGAAGGCCGGCATGCCGGCCGTCGGCATTCGACTGACCGACCTCGTCAACCGACTTCAGGTGAGGTGTCCGGGTGTTAGGTGAAGTCATCCGGCTCGAGGTGAGATGGCCGGTCTTCAGGTGAGGAGGCGAGCGATGTGGAGACACGGCGGGACACCGAGCGATTGTGGCGACTATCCGCGTGCATGGCCGACCTCCAGATGCGGCGTGGCTAGTGCAGCAGTAATCGGTGCGACACTGAATAACGTGCGTCACCGGGTTACGGAAATTTGCCGTGTGCTTCACCCAGTACGTGGGAAGGTGGGTGGACTTATTTTTGGTATTGTGATCTGTCCGCGCCTCTCGGCAGCATTGGTGAAATCCGGATTATCCGAGTCCGCGTTCTCAGGATTCCATACGAGATTCACAGCTACAGTCGGGGGCTTCGAATCGGCGGTGGTGCGCCGTCTGGGCTGGAAGTGAGCGACGCGGACCTCTGATGTCACCGTCTGCCGCCAGACGTGCTACCAACTGACGACGGCCGGCAAGTTCGCCGAGGCGGTGGAGCGGTTCCGCGCCATCCTGCTGTCTGTGCCGCTGCTGGCCGTCACCACAAAGCAGGAGATCGCCGAGGCCACTCAGCTGATGGAGATCTGCCGCGAATATGTGCTCGGTGAGCGCCGGCCGCCCGGCCGCGGCGAGGGGGGGGGGGGGGGGCGGCGTGTTGGGGCAGGGACGGCGAACAGGCGTCAGGAGGAGGGCGCTGATGCCGCCGAACCGACGGGCCGGGATGGACGGCGTTAAACACGTCGGTGCAAAGGGACCACAAAGTTCAGCGCTGTCGACTGACGACGGCCTCTCCGGGACAGATCAGTGCTGTTTAAATGGGCTGGTTGGTGCGGTGTCCCTGGTGCAGCACTTCTGGGAACATCTCTGGGGCATGGCGACTTCCACTTAAGCACTTTGTCGCTATGGTTTTGTCCATCGATCTTATGCGTTGAGTGCCTGTCTTTACCGCGGTTGAGGCGGTTCCCGCGCGCGTGCCGAGCGCAACCAACCTCGATCGGACCGTGGGACGCACTGACCGTTGGCCGACAGGGCTGTCGATGGAGATCCAGCGCAAGGAGATGCCCAAGGCGACGCTGGAGGAGCAGAAGCGGCTCTGCGAGATGGCCGCCTACTTCACCCACTGCAACATCCAGCCGGTGCACCAGGTAGGCCGGGCCTTCGGGCACAGGCGGCGACGGGCAGAGCCGAGCGACGCCGCCGCCGCTGACGGCCGGGCGGGGCTTGCGTGAAACCCGGCGTCCCGCCGCGCCTAACAGGGCCGCCGGCGGTGACCGCCTTCAGCGACTGCCGTCAGCTGACGCGCGGCCTGGGGGTCTGGCGCGTGATACTGCGCTCAGATCGGCGTGTTGGGGTCAGGCGCATGCTACTTCATTCAGGTCGCAAAGGAAGACAGATGTTGCCGTCAGTCAATGTCACGAAACTGTGTGGCGTGGTGCCGGTGGGGAATTGTCTCAGCAGACGTGCGCCATGTTGGCGAGCAGGTTTCAACAGCGACGTCCGATGTCCGGGCGAACCTCGACCGAATCTCCAGTGGCGTTAGACGTTGGAGTGCCATTGCTTGAAGTGACCTGTGGCCGGCCGGCGCTGCTGGACGGTGTTGGTAGGGGTGACGCCCTGATGTCGCCTGACGCCGCGGCTCACCTCGACGCCTCTGCCCGGTCAGGTGCTGACGCTGCGCACGGCCCTCAACCTGTTCTTCAAGCTGAAGAACTACCGCACGGCGGCCAGCTTCGCGCGGCGCCTGCTGGAGCTGGGGCCGCGGCCCGAGGTGGCCCAGCAGACGCGCAAAGTGCTCCAGGTCAGGCGGCGGCGCCTCCCCCTGGGCAGCCACGAGACGGGCTGACTCGTTCCATGATCTGGTGGTTTGGTTGTGCAATTGGCTGCTAATCACGCTCGTTGTTAGCCATGAAAATGGCGAAGGTAGTTTGAGGGTGTGGGGGCCGCCTTGTTCGTCTTAGACTCAGATGTCGGCCAGGAAGGGACGCCCCGTTTCCCCCACCATGACGAGCACCCCGTGAGAGAGGTCGGTCAAACCGTGCATGTCGCGTCCCTGCGTGCGCCCTGTCCATTGGCGCTCTACGGACCGCACGTGGTCTTTGTCCTGATGCGTGCGCCGCCGCCGCCGCCGTCGCCAGGTGTGCGACAAGACGCCGACGGACGAGCACCAGCTGCTGTACGACGAGCACAACCCGTTCGCGTTGTGCGCCGCCACCTACCGGCCCATCTACCGGGGCAAACCGGACGCCAAGTGCCCGCTGTGCTCGGCCGCGTACACGCCCGACTACAAGGGCTCGCTCTGCAAGGTGGGTCGCGCCGCCGCCGGCCCGGCGCCGCTGCGCGTCGGCTTCGGACGCCGGCGTGTTCAGTGATGGTCGCTCTTTCCAGCGGGCATACCTTGGAGGGGACAGTGGAATGGTGTCGGCCAGGGCTTGTGGAAGTAAATGAGTCACGTTGGCTGCCATACCGCTAATTCAAATGTGGGATGATCTCTTGTTACAGAGTAATATTGTTGCCCGTTAGCTTGTGTCGAGCTTCGTTTCAGTAGTGGTGTGCGTTCTTTTGTTTGCGACACGCATGCCATGTATTATCCGACCAGTGGTGGGTTCGGCCATCTGCACACATCTCCGGCGCTCCTTGTGTTCGCTGCCCGCGTGTATTGATCCCGTGTTGACTTTTGTCCCTCGATGTATCATGTCCCTCATCGCCCTATGCTTCGTGACGCCCCGCGTCTCTTAGCGCCTCGTGCACCCCTTGCCCTGTAACACCCCAGGTCCCTCGGCACCCCATACCTCGTAACCTGCCGCTCGCCGGGACCCCCGTGCCTCGTGAGGCTCCGTGTGCCTCGCCACCCGTGTGCAGCGGCGCCGCATGACCGTCCGGCCGTCGGCAGGTGTGCGCCGTGGCGGAGGTGGGCCGCGAGAGCATTGGCCTGCGCATCTGCCCGCTGCAGTTCCGATAGGGGACCGGCCGCCACCGCCGACACACCCCGCATTCCGAGTCGGGAGGAGACCACGCCGCGCCGCGCCGTGCCGCGCCGTGCCGTGCCGTGCCGTGCCGTGCCCTGCCACTGCAAGTGCACTTCCCAGCAGCACCCATCCGACCCTAGCGCGTGCCGGGCGAGCTGCCGACGGCCAGGGCTGGTGGGCCCGGCGCCAGACGGGTGTCACAAGACGAGCGCGGCCGCCGGACAGCGTCGGCCCGCCGGTGGCAGATGTAGCCGTCGGCGATGACTGCCGCTGGAGACATTCGCAGCCACTGGCCGACCGGAGGCATGCCCATCGGTTCTGTTCGCTTCCGGTGTTCTTGTTGCTGATTTGTTGGGCGGAATTTAACGAACGTGTGATGCGGAATTATTGGGAGCCGCCGGGGGTAGCTCGACGTGCGCCCACGGTGGATGGCGGTCCTCTACAAGGGAGGACGTGTGCTTGTTGGGTGGCCGCGTGCTCCCGACTGGACAGGGTGTCGCCCGCGATACAGCGGCCTGCCGACGGCCGGCTCGCGGCTGAAATCACGACAGTGCGCATGCAGTGCCGTTAGATGTTGTGTGATCGCCGGGCCCGCATCGCCTGCCTATATTATAAACGTGTTGGGTTGAGGATATGGAATATAAATACATTCTTTTCTATCCTAGCTGGTGCGGTTTTCTGCTGGGCTTGCCGGAAGGAATGGGTCGCGAGGCATCTGTCTGCTACGCGACGGACGCGAACGATTTCCGACATGACACTAGATACGGACTGTTAAGTACATTACTTCGCCGCCATCCGTGCAACCAGCCCAAAACGTCGGAAAAGCGGACAATTTGCACCAAAAATCACAGGCGTAGTAGGAATGATTTCGTTTGCTGCTCCGAAACCAGCAATGCCGGATCACCATTTTGGTTTTCAAAAGCCGAATACACCGCTTTGTGCATTGCCAACGAAGGCCTCCATACGGATCTCATCGAAACATTCACCAACGGGAAGAGGGCCTAAGAAGCATCAGCCGCACTGTAACTTCCCTTTTCGTCCGTCGGGTGACCCAAAAAGCCGCGAAACATGAGGGAACACCGAAGTCGAGTTCAGATTCCGAAACCATTGCCCCAGAGATGACTTTGAAACAATCCGTATGACCGAGCAGTTGCGACTATACCAGTTGTTTTGTAATGATTACGAGTTTGAAAACCAACATACACTTGGGGCATTTCTTCCAATCGTTAATTCCTAGAAAGTCGTACTCGGGGGGGGGGGGACGTGATTTATGGCCAGCAGTGTGGCCAGCAATGTGATTTAGCCCTGAAAACCTTCGCAAGCTGATGCACACGATTTCAATAACTGCCATGCACCGATTGACAATCTTTTGATTTTACCAGCGGCCCTAGTAACCCCAGACCTCAACCATTTTAGGCGATCTCGACCAGTAAAACCAGTCTAACCACTTTTGGAGTATTAAATCCAGGTCCGAACGTAGCTAACTCTCCATCTATCCCATCGAACCCCCCCCCCCCCCCCCCAACAGTCGATCACACATCGTTATTTCACCAGCTGTTATAAACTGGCGATTTCAAGGTGCCATCTCGCCCTTTTAAAAGATGTTTATCGAGTGTAAGCCAATCCTGATCTCAGGAATTGATGAACTGATTTTCCCTCATTTCTTGCCAATGAGCACAGCATCGGCAATTTTATCAAGCGTTCTGACATTGAGGACTTCATGTTAAGTCGTCATTTTCCCATCCCAAAACCCAGTCCGTCTCCGAATCCACAGCAATTCAAAACCGCCTTAAGAAGGCCGAAATTGTGACCCCTGGCCGCCACTCTCAGGACAGTCAATGAAATCGCAGACGTTCTGCCCATTAGCAAGGGTTTTGTGGGACTGGTTAGGCGGCTACCAAGCTTTGACTCGGTCGGTCCCGACGTCGTTGATTTTCGATGATAAACTACATGTTTTATCATGTATCAACTTCTCGTTCAGTTCGGCACAGCGGCTCTAGGAGAAGGCCTTTCTTCGAGTCTGGAACACGCCATTGCAGTGCTCGCGCCATACGCAGATAATGCTGGAACCGCTGCGCAGTCGGTGCTCAAACCGGAGATCACGTTCTCAAAGACGATGGACTGAACCGAAGCACTCGCTGCAAAGCCGGCATCGGAATATCCACGAGGCACCAGGCACTCCATCACAATTCCCGTATATTGGCGTGCATTCTCTCACGGGCCACTGCATGTACGCATATATCCACTAGCGCCGCTCTCACGCCTTCGCCGCCAGCCCCTTGAGCTCGGCCAGACACTGCTTGATGGCGTCCTGTTCCTGCTGCGGCGTGATCGACTTCTTCACCTGATCCACCACCCAGCCCACCAGGTGCTTCTGCTGGAAGCCTTGCGCCACGTTCTGCGTGTCCACCTGGTAGTCGAGCCGCCGCTTCACCTGGAGCGAGGCGAGGGGGCGCTGAGGGAGACGCTAAGGGGAGGGGGGGGGGGCGCTGAGGAAGGCCCCGGGAAGGACCCGTGGCCACGCAGCCAAAGACACCTGGCCGCCCAACGCGCTCGCCCCGACCACTAGCCCACGGCGACCTGCGCTTGATACGTCGAAACCAGGCAGGCGCGGCGAACACCCGATCACATCCGTGTACCCCCGCTGACGACAGCGGCGCGGCCAGCCCGGCTCGGCGCGGCGGGCGGTGCGGCGAGCGCGCCCCGCCCGACTCACCTCGTTGTAGACGGTCATCTGGCGCTCCCGGAAGGCAGCCTCCAGCTGCAGCGCCACGTTCTCCTTCTTGGCCTCGAAGAGCACCATCTGGCCCTCAGCGTGCCACTGCTGCTTCTTCTCCTCCTCAATGGCGGCCACCAGACCGTCCGTCTGGTTGGCGCGGTACTCGCGCCACCCGTCCTCGTATTCCTGGCGGCCGCGGCGGCGCAGTTACCACGTGCGCCCGTCTACACCGGCGATAACTGGGCGGACCCATATTCGGTTCATGTTCACCTATAAAATGGCAAGTCCAGTTGCTTCTAGCTTTTTAAAAATCCCGAAGCCTAACCAGTTCAAAATGTTAACTAACACACCTGAGCGATTGGGTAAAAAACCTAAATGAAACAAGCGGCTTACAAAGTGACAGCCGCTTTCGGGCACAGCGGGCGAGTCGTAGCATGTGCATAGCCTGTATTGCATACAACGGAAATAATGCTGATGTCCTTAATATCACGACATATGAGTATGCACACATAACCAAAATTGTTTTAGGGCAACTTCTCATTATAACTGACGTGAATACCGAAATGGACGAACCAGTTGGACCCGCAATCTTGCAATCTTACACAATGCCATTTTTTAGATGTGCGCTCATTTTATGCAGCCAGACCATGGTCGGTGTTCAACTCACGTCAATCCTCTTGTCCAGGTACTCGGACAGTCCGGGCCCCACTTTCTTGACCAGCAGGGCACCGAACAGGAAGAGTGTGATGGCCGTGTAAAACTCGTGCTCCATCACATAGATCTCTTTGCTGAAGAGGAAAGTTAGGAAACCCGTGCCGAACATGTAAGGACCTGCAGGAAAGGACATGAGTGTAAATACAGCATGGTACTGGAGACCTGAACACCGAGTGAAGCTAGGGACTGTCGTTTCGGCCAGTAAATTGAGAAGGGGGGGGGGGGCTAAGCAGTGAAAATAACGAGACCTTTACCTTTTCGGGGGGGGGGGGCTAAGCAGTGAAAATAACGAAACCTTTACCTCTTTCGGGGGGGGGGAGTTCAAATATCATGAGCCACCCAACTCCCCCCCCCCACCCCCAACTGAAAAGGAAACTACACCTCTACAAAAGCCTACACCGACAGTGAGTTCTCGATTCAGTCCCGTGCGCCCGTGCCGGCATCCCTAACAGCAGCGTGGCTCGGGAGTGCACCGGGCCGCGTCCCTACCAGTGACGCCGGTCTTCTTGTAGAAGGCCTGGAACCACTCCTCTGGGATGAAGCCGAGCCGCACCCGGTCGGGCAGCTCGGGCCGCACGCGGCGCGGGAAGTTGACCAGGTCGCGCTCGGGGCCCTCCTTGATGGCGCCCGCCTCGGCCGGCTTGGCGGCCGGCGCCGACGTGGACGCGGCACGCAGCGCGGCCAGCGCCGGCCGGCCCACCGCTGCCAAACAGAACGGCTGCTATTAGCAGGGCACACGCCACTCAGGTATGGGGGGCCGAATCAGCTGGGGGGACTGGGTGGCTGCTATATGGTCCAGATGGGCTCAATCGACAGTTTTGGGCTCCTCCATGCTCAGTATCACACTAGGCAGCATTGGACTCATTCATACTCAGTGTCACACTTAAGGCAGTTTTAGCCCCATCCATACTCAGTGTTCAACTCAAATTTAGAGGCTGGTTACAGTTTGCTGGATGGGCCAGGTTGGGAGGGATGACCTGGGGGAAGGGAGGGCCAGGGAGGAATAGGCAGGCAGCCAGGACAAAACAGAGCAATTTGATAGGCTTTGAAGATGAAACATACTCAAGATAAGGTGATTCATGTCATTTTGGAGTGATTTGCCCATACAGGAATGTGGTTTAAATGATTTTCTGACAAAAGTGAAGGGGTGTCATTCTGCCTCATGTCTGCCCTCAGAAAAGATCACAAATAGACTCCCATCATGCACAAATATCGCTACTGGCGGCAATTTCCAGGTTTCTAATTTCATGTGCAAGAAGGCAACAGCAGACTCCACTGGTAATACAGGGAATAGGTGCATATAAAAACACCATGTTGGCAGACACAGGATTTCAAACAATCTATGAATACATATTCAAAGCTTGGGCTCCAAGCCTTGGGTAATGTCCAAGCAGGTGCCAGGACAGCTTTATGCATTTTCTTACACAGGAATCTTAATGCACAATGACCAAGCAAATCTCATTTGCCTAGTATTATCACAGCTCTGCACATTTTTGGATCAAATATACATAATAACTGATAAACATTAGCAAATGGTTGGGTCTCAACCATTACAGCTCGCAGCAGCTCATTACAGCTTTTTAGTATTAAACATGGCACACTGAAACAAAATAGCACTCTGTACTATGAAAAAATGTGCATATACATTGGTCTGCAATTTATGAAAGGCCCTGTGTATACAACCTCCAAAATGGAAGGTAATTACACATCAGGCTTAAACACTCTCCAAAATGGAGGGTGGCTACACATCAAGCTACGCCCTCCAAAACAGGAGGGTGGGCACAATATGCACAGCCAGACAAAAATGGTACACAAAAAATGCCAATAAACACTGCCACAGACAGCCACCTACTTATGCCCCACCATGATCACACTACTCATGCTCCACTAGCCAACTGGCTTTGAAAACAGCTAACATTCATGCCCTCCACCTTCCCACTCCCGGTCAACACATGAGGCACCGCACATCCCCCCTGAACAATAGATAGGCAGCACTCTTAAGCCGATTTACTGAGCCAGCGCAAGTACAATGCCTAACTGACCCGTGTACACCGGCCAAAAGGGATCGGAGTCGGTCACTCCGCTGACTCTGGAAGATAATGCAAGGTATTTATGGATTTTGAGGCACTTTAACCAATATCGTTGTGAAATATGAAAATTTATGTTGCAATTAATTGATGTTTTTGTCCTAATAAGCCCTTCTCCTTAATTTGCTGGGCAAAAGTTATGGGTTCATATTACTCTGGTGTCCTGGCATTTTTGTCAGCAGTCAGATGGCTGTTTCCAAACAGTTTTTTGGCTACTTATAGAAATGTGTTTTGACTTAAGAGTATTTTTGCAAATGCTTAAATCATCAGCTTTAACTTCACACCATTAAGTGACAAGTTTAATTTGGCTTAAATCCACAGCTGCCGTAACATTTTTGTACTCCGGATACCAGGAAGTGGTCCAAAAAATCCAACCACATGGCCATTCTGGATCAGTACAAATAAGTCCTTCCTCATAATCAGTGATGCCCATCTCTATACAGGCTTCCCTCCAAATATTTACAAGATCTGTTCAAGACATGAGCGAAGAGCAGAATATTCATGCTCTTGACAAACCAGTCACAAGGAGACAAATCATTAAAACCAATTGGAGAGTTTGGCTATATTCAACCTCCAACATGAGCTGGGAGGCAGGCACAAGCCTCTGAACAGTTCAGGTGATTCTGGCACTGAATTGGCAGTGATTCTCTTATTTGCATTGCCATGACACAGCGGTGGCATGTGGGTAGACGGCCGTCTGCAGTAGGTGATTGGGCGTGTGGTTTTCTATGAATGCTCATTGCCTCCTTGGCAATTAATGTGGTTTGTTGTCAGTGATAGGCTAAGTCTTGTTCAAGTTTGAGTTGGTCTGCATAGGGCATAGGAAGTAAGAGCTTAGCTCATCTACAGACCTGTGTAATTCTGGTACTCGTTTCTCACTTCTCTGCACTGTTCAAAGGCGATTCCATTCAACATTCACACTTTATTTTTCACCTTTCCATACATGGTTTATCATATACCTAAGTGGTAACACACACTGCTTGCTATTGGGCATCTTAGTTGGGTGGGTGCAAGATTTGTGCTCTTGCAGATATCAATATATGGCTCCTGATGGAAGCAGCAAGTCTCAAACTGTTGCATGTTCTGGTTTTATTTTGTCCTGACACAAAGAGGAAAAATGAGTTTTTCCAAAAGCTGTTCTTGTTGCATTATGATGGATTACAAAATATTTCATTTTACCTAGCCACAATTCTGGAGTACAAAATCCCCTGGCATACATCATACCAGTAAATGTCAAGTTTTCGAACACTGGGTTGGGATCGGCCAAATGTTGCAACAGGAATGATTGACACTGTATTTAAAAAGTGGTGCATGTGCTGGTCTCATGATCTAAGCTGCCAAATCATGTACTCGATATCAAACACGCAAGTTTAAATCCATGTACTGGATGCAAAATGATGCTGGATATACTATTTATGGAATATGACTGGTCTAGACATTACTGACAACAAAACATCAAAATGCAATAATTAAGATAAAATTGCATGATTCAATAAAGCCTAAAAATATTTTCTAGAAGAGATGCAATTTTTTACACCACTTGGGAGCCACCTAGCAAACCACAACTTCCCCACATCACATATTGTTGAATGTTTAGTATAGTTCTATGATCATGCTACCTACTTTGGCCAGATCAGGTGAAAAGTTCATTTCGCCATTGGGTAAGCAAAATGAAAAGAATTGGTGCACTTTCTACATCAAAAATAAAAAATAGAAGCTCATGCGATCACCATTAAATGAGGATCTTGAGAATCATCTTGATATTTGGCCACAGAAACCTAACACTCAAAACACTGAGAACCTTGGCATGAAAGTGGGATTATTTCCTGTGTTCTTGCCATTTTTCAGGAAATTACAACCTCCAAACCAACAAAAGTGCCGTAATATCCTCAAAGCACCTTTATCTCAAGCTGTAGCATCAGTGACGGACGGATCGGTTTTGCCGCAATTTGGGGTATCTCTGAAGGTACGAACAAACACCACGAACTTCTATTCTTACATTGGAAGGAATAATCACAAACATAAGCTCTTACCTATTCTAGGCGCAAGCCGAGACAGCATGTCTGTATATATCCTAAGCAACGCGGCTGCCGACAGGCACCCGCTCCCTGACCCAGAGAAAAAGTAGGGGTGGACAAGACGCGTGATTTTCACAATGTAACCGGTATCTATAAACATCACTAGGTAGTGGTGCCCGCCGAAGGAAAACCCCCATAATGTCCGAAGTTTGGGAAAGTCCAGTGTACGTTATGTTTTAAGTACAGAATATCAAACAAACGTTATGTCTAAAGGCCAATGTACACAAAGAACACAATATCTAAAATGAGAAAAAAGGTTCAAAAGCTCCAGAGTGGGGTGTCTACAATGTTCGGGTACACAATGTCGAAAGTACAACATATCCAATTCACGTAATGCCAAAAATGTGTGATGTCAAACGTACAGGTTGTCAGAAACAAGTTGTAGAGCGGGCGCTAGAGAGTAAGTTATTGCCCTCATTGGCAGGCAGCGTTGCTCTTTCTAGCGTCGGCCATATGCACACAGTCGACATTATCATGAATGACTCATTACATATGTAATGTCTTATCCATCACACCGCTACGATGACTATACGCATGCGACCAGCCGACCGGATTGCTGGCTGTTGTGATGTGTCCTCGCGTTGTGTTTTACGTTATAATAACTCAAGTGCTTAATTAACTAATTCGCCATGTTCTAAAAATGACTTAACTGCTATTATCATTAAAACATGACAACTTCTTTACTTCATCTCTCCAAGACTGCTTTATTTCCTTCTTTAAAAATACACCGTCGCGCGGGCAACGCTCGTGCACAACATACAACAGATCCTCCTTAACATCTCACCCCGACCCTGAATGACCCCTCTAGTCAATCCGGAACATCGCTTCTACATCCCCCATGAGAACATCACTGCTCCATTTCCATGCGGATGATTTTGGTGACTGGCCTCTTGAATAGTCCCTTTGACGCCTTCACATCAACCACTCTGATTAGCCCATCAGGTCCTAGATACGTCTTCTCGACTCGCGCCATCGGCCAGGTTCCTCGCGGCACGTTGGGATCAATAAGGCAGGAACCACTTCTCCTTTCGCAGGTTCCTTCTGACTTCAGTCCATTTCTGTCGCGCTTGCAGAGTCAGCAGGTATTCACGTACCCAGCGAGGCCAGAACTCTGTGCTAGGCTGCTGCAAGTCTCCAGCGCTGTCGGAGGCTGCAACCATCTGTGCTCGCTAAAGGTGTCATCTCGACTCTTGATGGACCCGTGATGAAGTCTCTCGGTGTCAGCAGCGGCAGGTCGCTTGGATCAGGCGAGACGGCTGTCAATGGGCGGTTGTTGAGCAGTCCTTCAGCTCTGCAGAACGCTGTGTTCAGCTCCTCATCGGTGAGATCCGCTTGTTCCAAAGTCTTCACCAGCGCCTTCTTGGTCCACCTCGACCAACGCTTCACACACTCCATTGAAATGGGGTGTGCCAGGAGGATTGAAGATCCACTTCGTCCGGTATTTCGAGAGCTCTCTGTATCGCTGTTAAGCTCCTGAACTTCTCTCTATAGTTCTTTAGCGGTCCCGCAAAAGGTTTCTCCCTTTGTCGGATTTGATCTCGGCTGGTCGACCTCGGCGCGAGATGAACCGCATTCGCAGGTATGAAGCTGGCGGTGTCCAGTGAGTAGGCCATCTCCAGATGCGCAGCCTTGGTTTGTAGGCAGACAAAAATGCATAGGTAGCGCTTTTGTCGTGTCTTCCCTCGTCCTTGCTTTGTCCAGAAAGCTCCGGCGTAGTCAACGGCACATCTGTCGAAGGCTCGGAGAGACGGACGCACCCGTGCATCTATCATCGGTGCCATTTCTTGTATTCCTGGCTTCTTCTGCAACTTTTGACACGTGATGCACCTGCGAATGCAAGACTTTATCATCTCTCGCTGCAGGAATCCCAAACCACGGTCTCAGCTCAGCCAAGGTGTGCTCTACGCCCAGTCCATGTTCAGCTTCTCCATGGACATCCTGGACCAGCTGCTAATGGCGTGCTTTTTCGGCAGAAGCATCGGTGTTTGACTTCAAAACTCAGCTCCGATCGCTGCAGTCGGCCGCCGACTCGGATAGCCCCATCTTCATCCAAGAATGGGCTGAGCTGTTTCACAGTACTCCGGCGGCATGTTCTCTGCGGTCGTGCGCCCGACATCTTCACTTGTTGAAGCTGCTCCACTTCATCTCGGAACGCATCCTTCTGTGCTTGTTGAACCCAGAACTTCTCAGCTTCTTTTAGTTCCCCTGGGTTCAGTTCTCTGTAAGGTGGAGAGGTGCTTGTTTGAGAGATCTTCCCGCGTAGAACTCTGATGAATCTCTGCACACAGGCTGTAACTCTCAACAGTCTTGTCCAGTTTGATAAATTTGCCGGGTTCAGCCGCCAGCTAGGACCCGGCGAAGCTCGTACAGCCAACACATTCTTCTGCTGGTACTTTTTGATCTCAGACTGGTCGAACTCTTCTGTGGCGAATTCTTTCTTCCGTGGCCATCTGCTTTCGTCTCTCAGCAGAAACTTCGATCCATGCCACCACAGCTGACTCTCCGAAATATTATTTAAAGTCAAGCCCCTGGTGGGTGCGTCCGCCGGGTTGTCCCACCCTGGCACGTGCTGCCACTGCTCGGGTGGTGTCAGCTCACGAATCTCCGATACCCTGTGAGCGACAAACGGCTGAAAACGGCGGACTTCATTCCGAATCCAGCACAGCACGTCCATCGAGTCAGACCAAAATTGGACGTCTTTAATTTTTTCCCCATTGCCGTGCACAGCGTCTTCACAATTCTTAATCCCAGCAGTGCGCCCATCAGCTCCAGTCTTGGGATTGTCTGCTTCATCGCTCGCGGCGCCACCCTCTCGCGTGCCAGTGCGCGCTGAGAGGATCGTTCGCCGCCACTTTCGGACACGACGTAGATGGCTGCGCCATATGCTTGTTCTGACGCGTCACAGAACACGTGAATCTCCTGAAGGGTGACTTCTGAGAAGGGATGAATGCAGCGCGGCACTAAGAGACTGCTGAGCTGCTGCAGGTCGGCAAACCACTCAGACCACATCAGCTGCTGGTCACCCGGCAGTACGTCATCCCAGTCTACTCCGCTGATCCATGTCTGCTGAAACAGCATCTTCGTTCGAATGGTGAGTGGCACGAACAGACCTAGTGGGCCGAAGACAGAGGCCATCTCCCTCAGACATGTCCTTTTGGTCAAGTTTTCAGGCAGGATTCCTCGTTTTGACGTGTCTATGGAGAGGCGGTCTATAGCTCTATCCTCGACGGGGATCACTTTCAGCACTTTCGCATTGTTTGACATCCACTTCTTAATCTTCATCCCACCATCCTTGAGAATACTGCTGACCTGCTTCCTATCCTCGATGGCCTCCTGTTCTGTCCTGAACGATTGAATGCCGTCATCCATGTAGAAGTGCTTCAGCAGCACATCCGAACCCAGTGGATACTTTTCTGCATGTTTTTGAGCGTTTTCTTTCAGCACTAACTGTGCGACGAATGGAGCGGCCGCGTTCCCAAACAGCCAGCGGTTTGCTTGGTATACTGCGGGTTCCTCGTCCTTAATATATCGCCACAGCACTCGGTAGTATTTTCTGTCATCTGACGCGAGCTCAACTTCCAAAAACATCTCGTAAACGTCGCCGATTAGCGCGATGCGGTGCAGCCGAAAGCCGGGCAGGGCCTCGACGAAATCGGTGTAGAGAGACGGCCAAGGGAAAACTTGCGAATTCAGGCTCACTCCTCGATACTTAGCGGTTGCATTGTACACGATCCGGATTTTTTTGACGCCTTCTCCTCTTGGATGGTTGGAAAATGTGACAGGAACCACTCCTTCTCGCTGGTGTTTGTCCTTTCGGAGACGGGCACCTTTGACATGTGGCCCTTCTTCACGTACTCTTCAAGAATTTCACCGTACTTGGCCGGTAGCTCGCCACCGAATCGCTTCAGAGATTGCTCCAACCGCACAAGACGCTGCATTGCGGCGCTGTAGTTGCTCATCAGCTATGGCTCTCCTTTTCTCCACGGGGCCGCCGCCTGGTACCGATGACCGTTGTACGAGAGTGACTCCGATACCTTTTTCAGCATCCCCTGCTCTTCGCATGACATGAGGCTCTCTTCTGACTCCCTGATTTAAATGATCTCTAAATCGGTCGTTGACTTAATCGCTTCTATTTCCTCTTGACATATTTTTCTTGCGATGTGAGTCCTCAATGTTTTTAACACGTGAGTCATGTTCTTTCTCATCTTCAGGTCAGAGGATTCAGATCCGACGTGTTTCTCTTCGATAGAGCCAAACGCTGCCCAGCCCAGGGGAGTCAAAATTGCCACTGGGTCAGAGGCAGCGCCTTTCGCGGTGCTAAGCGGCACAAATAGCTGAGTTGTCTCCGCATCCAGACCGATGAGGATGTCGACACTGCTGTTCTCCATATTTGGGAATGGCACGGTCTCCATATGCGGCCACCTCTTATGGACACCGTGAACATTCACTGACGCTTCGTAGCTGCTGTGGGGACTTGACGACTTCATGATGCCCGTTTTCATGGTGACATCTTCTGTGCCGCTGACAGTACCCAGCTGTAACACTTGCTCTTCTTCATCGAATTCTAGCTCACTCGCGGCAGCGTCATGAATAAGGCATCTGAGCAGGGATCAAGTAGCGCGTTAAGCACAACCGAATGATGCCCACATTGCACCACTACAGGCGCAGTCTGGAAGGCTATTTTCCCACGCGTCACTTTCGGTTCTGAGGTCGACGTGTTGTAGCTTGTGCTTGGATTATTCAAGTGTCTCGGTGCGCCGCTGGAATTGATCCCACTATTTTCACTTGCCTGTCGAGATGAGTAAAAATCTTTTACATCAGTGACATTTTGCCACTGCGCAGGCTGGTCTTCACTCGGCATACGATGCGGCTGCTGGTGCTGATCCTGTTGTTACGCGTGCAGCAGAGTGTGATGGCTTCCGCCGCATCCATCAGCCGCACATCTTGGGAACGACCTGCACGTGACGCCACGGTGTTTCCCGCTGAGGCATCTGAAAC